AAGCATTGCGAGCGAAAAACGTGCGCGGTATGTGGTGGGACTTTGTGTGATATGGCCGAATCAGGAAAGTGGCGCATCTGCGATCCACGACCAGGAAGCGTGCGTCATTCCAAGCAGCGTAACCAGTTTGTTGACCTCGGACAGGTGTCGGGACCTGCGAGGACAATGCCGGCGCGTTGCCAGGGCAGGGGGTCGCCTTCCTCCTCTTGAGAGGGCTGAATGGGCTGTAAATCTTTGTAATTAAACTACTTCTCTTGGACTACCAAATTACATCCACCGCATTTAAGTGCAGTGGCTCGTCCCAGCTTTGTCCCGACGTCATCTGATACTCCCCGAATGTCAGGCGAGCCGCCTCATTTACATGATAAAACTGTTACGACACTTGACTACAAGACATGCCACTCGTGCCGAGACAGAAGCACGCTGTAAACGCGTCGACTGTAGGCGAACATCGTGGCGGAATTTCAGAGATCGGTTATCGCAGCGCCCGTCGTGTTCATCGGGACTGCTGGGGCGTCCCCGGGCGCCGGCGTCTGGGCGGTCTGGTGCCGCGCGGAGCCGAGGGCAGTACGGAACAGAATCAGTGAGATTCCGATCGCATCCATTTGTCTGCTTGGCGCCGCAGATTCACGACAGATTGATGATGCGGTCATCAGTTTTTTCAGTCGACCCTCTAGAAGATCCAAGAGAGAAAAGTACAAGGATCAATGCGATTGCAAGGCTTTAGAGCAGTTTAAGATCCGCGCCCCGACGTCATGGCTGGCGAGTCGGGTGCCCGCCACGTGGCCAGCTGGACCGCGGCGGAGCCGGGCCGGGGGGAGGGGCGGTGCTGGGTGGCCGGGCTCGGGTACCACTCGTGGTGCGCTCCCGCCGGCGCCGGCCGGCTGCCACCGACCCGGCGGCCGGTGCCGGCCCCCCCGAGTACCGTACGACGGCGCAGGGGGTGCCGAGTGCCGTCAGCAGGTGCGCTCTCCATCAGCTGCCACCGGTCCCTCCCGTCCCCGTCCCCGTCCCGAGCAGGAGGCGGGGCCTCAGAAGTCGCCCTCCCGCACGGGGGCTACAGAAACAGGGGCAGTCGGCCCGAGCGGCGCGCGGCGCGGCGGCGCCGGGGAGCGGCAGGACAGGCGGCGCGGCCGACGGCGGGAGACTCGCCGGCCGCCGTCACGGTCTGCGTCTGCGGACAAGTGCGCCGGGCGGCCGTCGCGTCACGCGCAGGCCTCCCGCGCGCCAGACGGCGGAGGTCGCCCGTCACGGGGCCGTCACGCCCCACTTGGCGCCGCCCGGCCGGCTGGCCGCCCACGTACCTGGCCGTCGGGACGGCCGGCCCGCGGACAGCTGCGGAACAGATGACGCGATGGTGACTAAGCGGGGAGTCATCTGCGCCTGTCAGCGGCTGACCTTGAAGTGACGAGGCGTGGCGCTCTTCAGCGTAGCTCGTGCTATATTTGGATGGCCCTTGGAATCGATTTCTGATTAGGTAGAGATCGTGGGCCCTCTTGTGGTTGGCTTGGCTCCAAGTTAGTGACGGCCACACCGCGGGAGGTGGAAAGTTAGATAATCTATCATTAGGAGCGGTGTGTTCCACATGCCTGATGCTTTCCCACCGGTTCATGTACCCGTGGGTGAGCTAAACTTGTGTGCATTTGGCGATAGTCGCTACGTGAGGAACAGACAGCCCCTGTTTTGTGAAATGCAAGTTTTTCTACATGTGATGCTGATCTATTTCAGGTGCGATGAAATGGTGATTTTATGCTTAGCACTTTGGTAATTACACATGACTTCAGTCCTATGCTCGTATCACCGGGGTTTTCACACATTCTAACAGACCATCGGTTTTAATACCCGTCTGAAAAACGGTTAAGAAGCGGTAAGCTGATGTGCCGAAGCCAGCGCCAACCTGTCCGTGGCCCGTATTTGGTCCGGTAGACTACCAAATTGTGGAAAGCTGCCACGGGTAGCGTGAGCCGGCCGATTTGTCTGCAGTGCACGCGCGGGGTGTCTCCGGTGGGCGCTGGGACCGTCCGATGTAGTGTGTCCGGGCCCTGCTGACCGTCCCTGCGTCTGGCACCTGCAGTCCACTCCTGTGTCCGGACCCTTTTCCAGGTTTCTGACTTCTGACCGTCTCATGGTCGGTGCCCTGCTCGTCCCTTGCTCCCGTCTAACGATGACGGTCGCGGCGTGATGATGACCGTGCCGTGGGGTGATAACCGTGTCCGTGTGCGGTTGTCTGTGTCCGCGTGATGATGACCGTGCCGTGGGGTGATAACCGTGTCCGTGTGCGGTTGTCTGTGTCCGCGTGATGATGACCGTGCCGTGGGGTGATAACCGTGTCCGTGTGCGGTTGTCTGTGTCCGCGTGATGATGAACGCGCCTGTGTGATAGGCGTGTCCGTGTGCGGTTGTCTGTGTCCGCGTGATGATGACCGTGCCCGTGTGATGATGGCCGTGTCCGTGTGACAATGACCGCGCCCGTCTGATGGTAACCGTGCCCGTGTGATGATGTCAGAGGCCGGCGCTGACCGGGACCGTGTCGGTGTGTCGCAGCAGCAGCCGATGCTGGTGCGGCCGGAGCCGGAGCGGCTGTCGGCGCCGCGGCTTCAGCGACACGACCCGCTGGCCGCTGCCGAACTCTACGCCATGGAGCAGCGCCGCTACAAACAGCAGCTGGTCAGTGACCCGGGGCACCGGCCGGCCGGACTCGCTGAGTGCGCGGCTCGGCTGCGGCGGAGGGGCCGCCGCTCCTGTGCCGGCGGCACATTTGCCATGGGAGTGGTTGAAATTGTTTGCTTTCTGAAGCAGCATTGCGAGACGTTTGTTTGGTGCGGTTTTCTCTTAATCTGTTGTGCAGATGGCCGCATTGCGTTGTCTTTGATGATCCAGCTTTGTGAACGACGGAGATAGGACTTGGTGCTCTCAAGCCGACCGTGGTACTTTAGATGGAGTATTCTGTGGCAGTTTTGTATTTTCCACATCAGGCTGGGATGTATGCGGGAGAACGAATAGTCAAGTAACTCACATTTGTGGAAGCAAAGTGGCACTATTGCAACGAACTGGAAACATAATTGCCTTCTGCAAAGCAATGAAATTAAAACGAAATGTCAGTACATGTCCTATTTAATAAACCATATTTGATGGCAGAAAGGTTACTGGGCTGCCAGCAGCTGTCAGACCCAGGTGCATTCATGCTCTACACCCCAGCTGTGACTGGTGCACATTCATTGCTTCATGACATCGGGTGACCAAAAATACTGCATAATTGTTCTTCAGTGGCACCTTGCGGCAGGTCATCGACCTGGCTCGACTCCAATGTTTTGCAGACCGGGCACGACACATCGTGTTCAACTTTACACGATACATCAGTTCGGGGACGGCCATGAGCATCAGTTTAGGGACGGCCGTCAACAATTTAGTTTAGGAACGGCCGTCGACATCAGTTTAGGAACGGCTTTCAACGTCAGTCGAGGGACGGCTGTGAACATCAGATTAGGGACGGCCGTGAACATCAGATTAGGGACGGCCGTCAGCATCATATTAGGGACGGCCATCAACCTCAGATTAGGAGCGGTGTTGTGGGTGTTCATATCCATGCGGGGCTTAACGCCCGACATTGCTGCTGGTCGGCTCGGACGCCAGTGTGACTGGCAACAGTGATGCCTGCATTAGTGCGGTGACGTGCTGGCTGGGGTAGTGGCACCACCCTGTCACCAGTTGGCGGCAGTGATGTCCGTACTCCGGCGGTGACCTGCTGGCGGGAGATGTTGCCATCGCGCTCTCACCAACTGTGGCCCATCGACTCTGCTCCGCAGCAGCAACATCAGCAGCAGCAACAACATCATCAACATCAACAGCAGCCAGCAGCGCAACATCAGCAGCATCAGCAGCATCAACAGCAGCAACATCAACAGCAACAGCAACAGCAGCAGCAGCAGCAGCAACAACACCAACAACAGCTGCAACAACAGCACCAGCGACAGCAGCAGCAACAGCAACAGCAACACCAGCAGCACAAGCAGCAGCAACTGCACCATCAGCACCAGCAGCTGCAGCAGCAACAACAGCATCAGCAGCTGCACCAGCAGCAGGCTGAGCCGCGGCGTGCGCGCCGGCCGACGCTGCTGCCATCTGGACACGGTCACGTCGGCGAGTACCCGGGCGCAGCCGTCTCGGCTGCCGTCGTGCACCACCTGGACGACCGGGCCAGCCTGCACCCGGCCTTCAGGAGGTACGTACGCCGAATGGCGCAGCCAGCGTCCGACACCGGTGATGTGCGCATGTCCAGTCGCTAGCTGCGTGGTGGATGAACACACGGACGTGTTTTTTTATTATTGCACGCGCTTTTTCACAGACGTGTGCTTGTTGTAGAATATCCGTTGTTTCAGGTTGTTTTAGAGCATGCACGTTTTTACGTGAGGGAGCTTCATGTTTTGGGCGTATAAGTAGTCGTTACGCGGTTTTGGTTTGCATGGCGAGTTTAAGTAGAGAGTAGAGTTTCTAGCTTGTTTGTGGATGCCCAGTAGAGGAGAGTTGGCGTACACTGTATGCAGAGGTGACAGATCTAGCCTGCATGGGGTTGCCGGGTTATGGGGCATCTAGTCTTGTGTAGGGTTAGGTTAGAAGTGGATCAAATGTCTGTCGGTAATCCTGGACTTAATGCTCCCGGCGTCTCTTTTCATAAGTGATTGCATTACAGTGCGCCACCGTATGCTTGAGCGGGGGTGCCCGCTCTTCGTCTATGGCTCGTCTTCCGAGCTCGCCACGGAGTAGTCTCCGCGGGGCCCTCTGCAGCCCACAGCGCCGTGCTAGTCGGCCTGTTCGAGCCGCATGTCCGGCCACGTGCCGCGTGCCGTGCCGTGTCGCGCGGCGCGCTGTAGCCGGTGCTGGGCCGCAGGTCGTACGCGGAGCGGGAGTGCGCGGCGCAGCTGGCGGCGGGCGGCGCCGGCTGGCTGGCCGAGCCGCGGCCGCCCTCCTCGCTGGCCGGCGGCGACGTCCGGCTGCCACTGCACATCGTCACCGGCGCCGAGCAGACGCACCGGGTGAGCCGACGCGAGCCACCGGCCGGTGCCGGCCGTGCGCGGCCCCGCCAGCCGTCGAGCGTGCCCCGCGATCGTCACGGTGCGCTTCAGAGCCGCCGACCCCGCCGGCCGCCCCGTCCCCCGCTGCGTGACCCGACACCGCCGGCGGCGCGGTCCGAGCCGACGGCCGGTCCGCGGCGCCGGCTGACGTCGGCCCGCGCCGGCCGCCGCTCGTTACACGCCGTGATTGGAGCGCGTCGTGCGGAAGGCCTCGCTGGACGAATCGGCCGTGATTGGCGGCAGTGACGCACGTGGGCAGCCGGTGAGGCGAGGCGCGCGCGCGGCGCGATGTCCGCCGATTAGGCCGATTGCCGACCGAGGGTCGATGCAGACGCGGCTGCGTGACGTTCGCCTGCCACCGGCCGCTGAGCCGTGCCGTTGCCCCGGCCCGGCCGGCCTGGCGGCAGCCAGCCAGCGTGACAGGGTCCCCGACGCCATGCGGCGTTGTTTGAGATGAAGACGAAGAGATTGTTAGGGGGGTTTGTTTGCTGGCTGGATAGAGGAAAAAGCTGAAAGGGCGGCTTGGTGCTTCTTGTGTCAGATTGGACGGAAGTCTTTCGAGTGATATGAGATGGTTCAGACTGCAGCGGAGCGGTCGGTGAATGTGTCACGTCATGTGAGACGTCACCTGGGGACATTTGGAACATGTGACCGGTGTGAGACCGAGCAGATGGCGAAAAGAAGCGTGCCCGGCTCTTTTTGTAGCACTTTTTTGCGGATGTTGGAAGCCCTGATTATGCTAAGTCACACCTGAAAAGCCGTCTGTCAGTCGGGGAAGTCACGCAAGCGCGTGCCCACGGCCGCATCAGTCCCCTCCCCTCCCCCGCCTTCTCCTCTCCTTCCCCTCTCCCCCCCCCCCCCCCAGTAACGACGGGAGGGTCCCCTCGGAATGGAACGTTTGGCGGGGCGGGCACTGACCCCGGGTGGGGCCCATGGCGTGTTGAATAAAGACAACACCTTCCACCGGGTAGTGGCCGACTTCCCTTGCGGATCGTCCCGTCTGCGATCTGATGATCTGACGTCCTATGGTCTTCCGTCGGTTTCTGCAGTATGTCACCGGCTAGGGGCTGCTACAGTGAGGTACAGTCAAGTCCGACGCGTAGCAGGTAGAGTCAACGCACGATGCAGCTGTGGACCGGGCGGCAGTGCCTGCCTGCCGTGTGGTCTTTTCACGAGGTCGGCAGTCGTGCTTCGTTGTTCAGTCGCCTCCCCGCTTTCGAGGATGCCGGCTCGTGCTGACGGCCGCCTCGGTCGCGCGCCCGCCGGCAGGAGTCGTACAACCCGCAGACGGAGGCCATCTCGCCGACGCTGCCGGCCGACGGCCTGGACGAGTCGCCGCTGCGATCCACCAAGGACGAGCTGCTGCGCCAGATCGGCACCATCGACCGCGAGATCATGAAGGCCGAGTCGCAGATCGCCAAGCTGAAGCGCAAGCAGGTGTGTGGGCGAGGCCGGGCCGGCGGGCGGGTGGGCCGCGCGCCGGCCCGCTGCTGGGGCGGCGGTTGTGAGCCGGCCCGGCTGGCCAGCGTGCTGGGGCAGACAGGGGCTGGCAGCCGTGGGTCGGCGCCGGCCGCTGCCGTCGGCCGTCGTCACTGTTCGCCAGATAGGTATAGGAATACTCGGTGTAAGTTGCGAAGTGGTTTTCTGCTCTGATCGCGAGACGTGCCTGTCGGGTTATGTGGCGTATCTCTGCCGCGCCTACTGAAGCAGCGAGACCCGTGCGTTTCTGCGGCGACTGAGTGGGGACCGGCGCGGCAGCATGGCCGACCCGTGTGCAGCGCGCCCAGGCTCACGGCCACCCGTGGCGCGCGTCTGCTCTGGTCGACGTGCGTAACCACCGCGGGGCCGGTAGGCTTCTGTAGCGTCTGAGGGTGTGCTGTGCCAGCGTGGCGGGCGCGCCGCCCGCGCTGACGCCAGGTCTGACCGGCAGAGCGAACTGGAGGCGCACGCCGGCCGGCCCGACGACTGGACGTCAGACGACGACGACAAGGAGGCGCGCAACACCAGTCTGGCGCAGACCATATACGCCGATAACCGGGTGTGTTGACGGCGAGCGCGCGGCAGCCGGAGTGGGACCGGGCAGAAGCAGCCGAGCGGGGCGGGAGTTGGCTGGCCTGCTGGCGGGGGGGGGGGGGGGGAGGGGGGAGGGGAATTGGCCGGGTACGCTGCTCAGCCCTCTTCACCACACCGGTAGTGACGCGGTGTTTGGCGCCGGCTGATCGCGAGTGGAGGCATGTGAGGATTTAAAGTGTGGAAGGTACGTGTGGTTGTGTGGAGGCCCAACTGCTCTGCGTGCTAATGATTTACACTGCTTGTGGACTTCCTAGCTTGTTTTAGTTTCAATCTCGTTTCTGTGTAGGGCATTACATGCTTCGTTGGACGTCAGCCAGATTGATGGTATCGGCTGTCAGCGTCGATGTAATCTGTTAATGCTTCGGAGTCCTGGGCCCCAACACCGCTCTGGCTCCCGCCGAGGCGGCCACCGGGTCCGAGCCGTCCGTCGCCGCGTGGGTGACGTCCGGGTCTCGAGCCCGGCGGTGAGAGCGGCACACGGACGGCGCGTGGCCGCCGGCCGCCGGCCGTGCTGACAGCACACCCCCGGCCGGGGCGCTCCCTGGAATCCATCGGCGCCGACCGTGCCGGCATCTCCGCAGCGGCCGGCCGTAATCAATAGCCCAAGTTACCGGCCGTCTGCGACGCGGCCGGGTGGCGGCCGTGCCCGAGCGGCGGCGGCCAGCTCTCGCCGGTGCGGGCAGGAGCCGGGCGGCGGTGGGCGCGGGCAGGATCTGACGGTAGACGTCCGTTTCAGAAGAGGGCGCGGACCGCCAAGGCCGACCTGGAGAAGCTGGGCCCGCTGCAGGTGCGTAGCCGAGTCGCGGGACGAGCGGGCGCGGCGGAGAGCGTGCGTCTGGGCCGCCGCGGACCACGCCGTGTTCGCACTACATTGGATCCTCCTCCTTCTGTGACGTACACAGTGTCGCGTCAGGGCTGTCCCGCGAGAGCCGAGGCCCCGCGGAGCGCAACGTGTCGGCTTTCGCGTCAGCCGCTCGACCTAATAACGTCCTCGTTCAGCCGTGCGGCCGGCCGGTATATCTGTTAGCGGTGATGCGACGCGCCGCCTGACATGTGACGTATGCGGGGTTGTGACAAGCGACGGCTGTCCGCGACACGTCACCCGCCGGCGACGCGTCGCGTCTGTCGCTGCCGCCGCGCGGTGTCGCTGACACGTCGCCGCCGTCGCCGCCGCAGCCGGCCGAGGAGCGCGCCGACCGCTGGCGGCTCTGCGCCGCCGCCCAGCCGCTCTACAACCAGCCGTCGGACGCGGCCGTGTACCGCGCCAACGCCGCCGCGTTCCGCACGTTCAAGCGGCGCCTGGTGGCGACGGTGCGGCGGCGGCGCCTGGAGGACGCCGCGCGCCAGCGGCTCACCGCCGCCCTCTACGCGGAGAAGCTGGCCGCCTGGGTGCGCGAGGTGGAGCGGATCGAGGCGCTGCCGGTGAGTGCGCGCGGATGTCGCGCTGGCCGTGCGCTATGACGGCGCCGCTTCGCGTCAGTTGCCCCTGTTTTGTGTCGCGTTTAGCGTTCCTGCTCGACCACTGTTCGCTCCTCGTTCGCGTCGTTTTCTGCTGTCCTCTCCCGCTGCCGCCTTCGTGCTCCGCCCGGCGTCTTGCTGTTCCGCCCACGCTGTCTGCCCTGTCGGCGCCGGTGCGACGCCGATGACGTGTGGCGGCGGGCTGCCTTGTGCGGCCGGCGGCGAGGCGGCGCCAGCGGTCAGCCCACCGCCGGGCCGCTGCGTGCCACTGATCCGGGCGGAGTTCGCCGCGATCTGCGCAGCGGCGACGGTGTCCGGCCGCGCGACGCGGCGGCAATCAGTAGCCAGAGCTGACTGGCCGCCCGCCTGTCGGCTCGTTGTGTCCCGCTGTCTTGTGTTCGGGCTTATCATGCACTGTTTGTCGTGTTGACCCTGCCAGCGGCTGCTCACTACGCAGGCGGCCGTGGGCCGCCAGGCCCGTCGGCTGCCGCTGCTGCTCATGCACTGAGTGTGCTGTCGCTGCGTCTGCAGAAGAGCCGGCAGCGCGCGGCCAAGGATCGCGAGTTCTACGAGAAGGTATTTCCGGAGATCCGGCGCAGCCGCGAGGAGCGCGAGCGCTTCAACCGCGCTGGCCGGCTCATCAAGTCAGACGTCGAGATGGAGGAGGTGATGGACGGCATCCAGGAGCAGGAGGTACGGCCCGGCCCGCGGCGGCTCCGGACTGGGGCGCCCGGGAATGTGGAACAAATAACCGCGCTGAAGATAGGTCAGACTCCCATCTGTCGCTGTGATCGTTGGCCGCTTGTATTACCGCCACGAGCACTCGCGCTTGACGGTAGGTTGCGCGACGCCGCGTGACTCACAACCTTCGAAAAATTGCCGCCAAGCGCGGCGTCGAGCACGACTGGCATCACTTGTGTGAAGCGCATCAGGCTGAATCGTGACACGTGTGTCATGTGCTGTGGTGTCGTCCAACCGGCGGCCAATGCCGCGCAGCGCGCCGACCGGGGTCGGCGGTCGCCGCTGACGCCAGCCGCCGCCACCGTTGCAGAACGAGAAGCAGAAGCTGCTGTCGCTGGCGGTGATCCCGCCGCCGATGCTGGACGAGCAGCGGCGCGCGCGTGTCTTCCTCAACAGAGGCGGCCGCATCGCTGAGCCGCTCGTGCTGCACGACGACCTGGCCAACCAGAACGTATGGACCGAGGCCGAGCGGCAGACGCTCGACGAGCGCTACCTCCAGCACCCGAAGCAGTTCCACGCGCTGAGCGCCGCGCTCGAGCGCAAGGCCACCAGCGAGTGCGTGCGCCACTACTACCTCAGCAAGAAGCAGCAGAAGTACAAGGAGCGGCTGAAGAAGGCGCGCACGCGCGGGCGCGGCCGCGGCCCGGCGCGCCCGCCGCCGCCGCCGGTGGTGCTGGGCGCCGACGTGCCGGGCGTGACGACGCGCGGCTCGCTGCAGCAGCAGCGCGGCCGCGGTGCCGCCGTCTGCAGCGTGGCGCCGGAGCTGGCCGGCCTGGCGCCGGCGGCTCGAGCAGGTGGAGCGCGCGCCGGCAGAGGAGGCGCCTGCGGACAGGTGAGGCGGCGCCAGCGGACCCCCGCAGGCGGAGACCCGGTCCGGTGGCGAGGGCGCGCTCGGTTCGATGGGTCACGTGCGATCTGTGAGCATGGCTGTTTGGCGCGAACACCGAACGAGTTGTGAAGAATGTGTCTTCGGTTTCGTGGCATGCCGCTCGTTCACGGGTTTGCTTCACTAAATTCGTGATTAACACCGTCTTGGACCCTGCCGTGGGTGAGCGTGTGCCGGCATCTGAGCGCGATGCTTTGTGTCTTCCTTTACTGTTGCATTACATGTGTGTTGACTATTTCCAGCGAAAACAAGGGGATCAAGAAGGAAGAAGGAGAGAAGGACGAGGAGGACGCATCGAGGACAGGCCAGAACAGCGAGGAGGAAAACGAGGGCACGGGTGAGCGGGGGCTGGCGAGACATGACGTTCACACGGACCTTTGGACTCTGCCGACGAGGAAGGTCCGCTGGAGCAGCGCTGACGGGCTGCCGCCGGATTGTCATCCGATCGGTGTCTGGGCACTGTGGACTCGACAGGATCCGGACAGAATATCAAAGGGCAGCGGGTCCGTGTCCGCTACATGTTTGTTTGAACTCGTCACTGGCGAGTCGACAGATTCTCGCACCGGCTGTGTGACGCTCGTGTTCCGTTCGTGTTCCGTTCGTGTTCCGTCCGACTTGGTGCGCCCCAATCGCCTGAGCGCCGGGCCGCGTTGCTGCCCCACGCGCTCGGACCTCGCCCGAGCGCGTGGAGCAGCAATATCGCTCGCCCTCGCCCTATCGCTCCTCGGTCGTGTGCGATGCCGCGCTGCCGCTCAGCGAGCGCGGCGACGCCCGGCCGGCGGGACGTCCGCCTGGTGTCGGCGGCCGTCTCTGGTGCGGGCGGCGGCGGCGCTGACGCGGCGTCCCGTGCTGGCAGGGCGCGGCGGGCCGCACCCGTGCGCCGTCTGCCAGACGCAGCTGGAACACCACGGCCAGTCGCGGCCGCTGCCGGCGGCGCACGCCGCCAGCTACGGCCTCAGCGAGCGCGACCTGCCCGGCGACGCGCGCGTCTGCGCCGCCTGTCGCTGCCGCTCCGTCAAGCGACGCTACTCGCAGTGAGTGACCGGCCGCCGCCGGCAGAGCAGACACCTCCGGCGAGGTGCGGCGCGCGCGGACGTGGCCTGCAGTCTGTCGCCGACGGGGCCGATGGTGGGCCCGCGGTGTGCCGAGCCGCACTGATCGCGCTGTTGTCAATGAATAACGCCCCTCCTGTTCGTCGACGCTTTGGACGGCGCTGTGCTGTGCTCACTGGTACTGGCCGCCCCGCTGTCGGAATATGTAAGGGAGGGCTCCACTTCTGTGAGGACAGTGGCATGCGGCACCCGTCTGGTGGCGGACAGGACCGCCAACGGTCAGCACCTCAGCTGGCGGACGACTCCGTCGCAGCCGACCGTTTTGTACCGCTCCGCGCCGCGCCGCGCCGCGCTCCGCCGCGCGTCGGCGCCGGGCGGTGGCGGTCGCCGGCCGCGCTGTCGCTGACCCGAGGCCGCCCGCTCCCCCTTGCAGCGTCAAGTGTCCGATTCCCACCTGTCCGACGCCCAAGTTCCGCGTGAAGCGGCTGCGGCCGCTGCCGGCGCGCTGGGCCGACGCCGACGACGAGCTGCGGCAGGCCATCGCGCGCGAGCTGCGTGAGTACGGCCGGCACCGACGGGAGCGCCGCCCGCTCTGGTCCGGCTCCCGGTCGGGTCTGGTCGGCAGTGCCACCTGCGTGCAGGCTGAGGCCGGGTGCTGAACGTGACGGCCCGCCCCCGCTCGGCCCGCAAGGCGTTGTTTGTGGATGCGGCCGCCGCGCCGTGACTGTCAGCGACGGATGTGTGTTCGCAGACCCAATTACCGCCTAGGAGTGTCTGAGTGGGTGGCGCGCCATTTCTGGTTATTGTGTTAGTTTTGCGCGGCTCCAGTGCCATCGGCAGTGCTGACTACCGAGAAAAGCAATTCCGTGGGTGACGACAATAGGCGTCTCACGTATCGCCCGCCCATCTTGCCACTTGGAGTGTGGATAATGGAGTGTGTCATCGGCGACGACGGCCGCACCGGCTGTGACGACGGACTACCGCGTCCGATCCTCTGACGAGCCGGCGCGGCGCTGAGGTCGTCAAGCCTCGCCCGACGGCCGGTCCCGCTGACCGCCCCTCCCCCTCTCCCCTCCGGCAGAGCTGACTCCCGAGGTGGTGAAGTGCTGCTCCGCCTGCCACAACCGGGTGGCGAGGCGGCTGGCGGCGCCCGGCGAGCCGGCCGACGCTCCGTGGGCCGAGGGCGAGCTGGAGCGGCTGCGCGCCGGCCTGCGCGCGCACGGCGCCGACTGGACGCGCGCCGCCGCCACGGTCGGCACGCGCCGGCCGGCCCAGTGTCGGCGCATGTACGCCGAGCGGCGGCCCGAGCACCGGCTGGACTGAGGCAATGGACGAATACAAGCGGGTGAGGGAGCCCCGGCCGCGCGGAGACGGCGGCCGGCGGCCGGAGGAGCTGGACTGCGGCTGGGGAGAGAGGGCGCGCGAGGGCAGGCTCGGGGGCGGGCGCTGTGGGCTTGGGAGTGGCGTGAGGGCGGGGCGTTCGCGGGAGTGGTCGGCGAAGCACCGCTCACTGTCGCGTGAGGTGTTACTGGCGGTCGGTGTTATTGGATACCTGTCGCTCAGTTGTGCTTTGACTGAATGGTGAATTGGCCGGAGACAGGTCATGGGTTTGTGTGTTCTGTGGAGTTATTGCGGTCGCCAAAACGGGTGGGATATTGGCAAAGGTTTGCTTTGACTTGACAACAGTTCAGCTGCAGGACAACGATTCGCTTCAAATTATCATCAGCCCGCCATGGTGTCCCCGTCATTGCGGCACGCCCTATCATGTCACACTTGTGGAAGAAGTCCAGCGTCACTCTCCGCGGGCGCCCCGCCGCCGCTCCGTGCCAGCCGGCGACGACGCGTCGCGTGCGTCGCGTGACGTGTGCACGGCCGTTGGGGCAGGTGACGGGCGACCGGGACGGCGCGGCCGACCTGACAGACGACGAGTCTGCCAGCTCCGTGTCAAGCGGCGACGAGCCCGACCCGGAGCAGGGGTCGGCGCCGGCGCCGGCACAGACGCAGGGGCCGCAGCCGCAGCCGGCGCAGCGGCCGGCCGCCGTCAACGGCCAGCGGCCGGCGGCGCCCACCGAGCGCGGCGACAGCTCGGCCACGGTACGGACCGGGCGGGCGGCGGCCGCGTCACTGGCGGGCCGAGACGACCGCGACGTGCCACTGGCGGGCACCCGGCGGAGAGCGTGGCTGGCGTTTGGTGAACGGGGATTTTGTGTCCGAATCAGCACGATGGCATCGGGGTAGGTCGGTGTTGTTCCCTGCTTTTGCAGCAGTTTTCTTTGTCCTGACATAGCCGTACAGTACGGACGCCGCCCTCTACGCCAAGCTGGACGTTGGTAACTAAGGTTATAATGATAACGACAGCAGAGGGCGAGTTATTGTACATCATACGCTATGATGTGCTATATGTCAGGGCTTGCCAGCTCCGGCGCTGAGTCGCTGCCATTGCTCACAGGTCTCCGCTGACGAGGCGGCCAACGACGCCGATGCCAAGACATTGTCTGACCGCCCCGCGCCCGGTCCGGCCGCGCCACCGCCGCCACCACCGCCGCCGCCGCCTGCCGCCCCCGTCTCGTCTGGCTCGCCGCCCAGCCGTGCGCCGGCGACCACCTCTGGCGCCGACCACCGACCCTCCATCAGCGACCTGATCAACGTCACCATCAACCGCTCCTTCCGGCATGCTATGGCGCGCATGGAGATGGAGGCGGAACGGGCGGCCGGTGGTAGCGGCGGCGCGCAGGGCCTCACGCTGAACAACCTGCTGGCGGGCTCGGACCGCACCGCTGCCGGCCGCTGCCATGCGCCGCCAGGCTCGGCCGCACCGCCGCCGCCACCGCCACCCCCGCCACCGCCGCCACTACCGCCGCCGCCGCCGGCCGACGGCGAGGCGCAAGACCTGAGCGTGCGCCGGCCGGTCGCCGACGAGTCCCGACCGCGGCCGCCGCCGGCGCACCGGGCGCCGCCGCCGCCGAGCGGCGCCGACCCACTGCGACTGGAGCCGCCGCGCGACGCCTACTACGCCGACCGCCGGCCGCGCTCGCCCGGCGCGCCTGTGTATGTGACGGACCCGCGCGCCGCGCTGCCGCCGCCGCCGCCGCCGCCGCCGCCGCCGCCGCCGCCGCCGCCGCCGCACCTGGCGGCCGGCGCGCATCAGCGCCAGCTCCAGCACCACCTCCAGCAGCAGCAGCTCCAGCAGCAGCAGCAGCAGCAACAACAGCAACAGCAGCAACAGCAGCAGCAGCAACAGCAGCAGCAACAGCAACAGCAGCAACAGCAACAGCAACAGCATCAGCAGCACCACCAGCAGCAGCAGCAACAGCAGCAGGCGGGCGGCAAACCAGCGCCTCCGCCGCCGCCTAACAGCGGGCGGGCCGGACCGGGCCCCGGGCCGCTGTACCGGCCAGAGGGCCGGGCGGGCCGAGCCGGCGCCGGCTCCATCACACAGGGCACACCGCTGGCGCACGTGTCGCACGCGCCGCACCTGGACGGCCTGATGCGGCCGCCGGCGCCGGCGCCGCGCGAGGGCGGCAGCATCACGCAGGGCACGCCCATGCAGCCGGACCAGAAGCGGCGCGACAACCCGACCACAGGGCGGCGGGCTGGTGCTGGTGCAGGACGGCGGCCGCCACCCGGCCGACCACTATGCCCCACTGCGCCGCTCGCCCGGCCAGCTGCCGTACCCGTACCCGGCGGCGTACCAGCAGCCGCCGCCGCCGCGGCCGGCGCCGCCCGACCACCTGTCGTCCCGCCACGTGCTCATGACCGACTACATCACGTCACAGCAGATGCACGGCCGACGCGACAGCCACGGCTCGGCCGACAGTGACCCGCGCGCCTCGCCGCGCGACCAGCCTGTCTACCTGTCGGCGGCCGGAGGCTACCCGCCGCCGCCGCCGGCAGGCTACGCACGCCAGATGGCGTCCCGTGATACCCCTCCGCCGCCGCAGCCGCCGCCGCCGCCGCCGTCCTCGTCGGCGTCGTCGCAGCAGCAGCAACAGCAACAACAACAACATCAACAACAGCAACAGCAGCAACAACAGCAGCAGCAGCAACAACAACAGCAACAGCAGCAACAGCAGCGGCCGGGCGTAATCCAACGGCCGGGCGGTCGGCCGGGGCCTTCGCGCCCGCCGCCGCCGCCGGACGCGTATGCGCGGCCAGCCAGCGGCGGCTACGGCCAGGACAACTTCAGCACGTTGGTGGACGTGGCGGTGGCACAAAGCAGCCTGATGGTGCCGCCGCGCGACGGCCGCCGACCGGCCGCGGCCACCGCGCAGCACGAGCAGCGGCTGCGCCAGCAACAGGAGCGCGAATACGCTGCCGCCATCAAGGAGATGATGCAGGCGACGCGCGGCGGCCGCGGCCCACCGCTCGACGACAAGGCCGGCCTCACGACGCGCGGCCTGATCGAGGCCATCATCAGCCGCTCCATCAATCAGGAGGTGCACGGCGGCGCGGCTGCGGCAGCCGACGCGCGCGCCTCACCGTTCGCGGCAGCGCGCAGCCCGGCCGAGCGTGAGCTGACGGCTGCGATGGAGCTGCACGGCCGACGGCCCGGCTCGCGGCCCGGTCCGCTGGCCTCGCCGGACGCGCGGCCGGCGCGCTCCACGCCGCTGCCGCTGGCCGGCCGGCCCGGTCACGCCTACCCGGCCGGCCAGCCACTGCCGGCCGGCCACCGGCCGCCGCCACCGCCGCCGCCGCCGCGCGGCAGCGGTCCGCAGCCGCCGCCGCCGCCCCCGCCGCAACCGCAGCCGCACGACGGGTACCAGTACCGATACCGCGGCCCGCTGCCGCCCCGGCCGCAGGATCCGACGCCGGCCGAGCGCGCGGCGCTGATGGAGCGCGCCCGCTACGTGCGCGAGGAGCGGCAGATCATGCGCGTGGCGCAGGCGGGCTCGCCAGATCACGGCGCGCACCGGGTGTCGGCGTCGCAGGCGTACGGCCGCGCCGCCGGCTCGCCGCCGACCGAGGCCAGCCGAGGCATGGCGGCCCAGCACCAGGCGTGGCTGTTTCAGCAGCAGCAACAACAGCAGCAACAGCAGCAGCAGCAACAGCAGCACCAACAGCAACAACAGCAGCAGCGTCGCCGTCAGCCGACGGGCGAGCCGCCGGGCCGGGCCGGCATCGCGTCGCCGCTCGATTACGTGAAGAACAAGATCGCCGAGGTGATGCGCACCTCGGACAAGGCTGGCGAGGCGTCCGAGGAGCCGGCCAAGCGGCCGCGCCTGGAGCCGGCGCTCGGCGACGAGCCGCTCAAGCTGTCGCGCGGGCCGACGCCGCTCTACCTGCACAAGGGCAGCAACGGCGGCCTGGCCACGCCGCCGCCGCCGGCGCACCTCCACCGGCCGGCCGCGCCCACCGAGTGACGAGCGCGCGCGGGCGCCGCCGCGCCGCAGATGTGATGTGAGTCGATGTTTTGTCGCGGGAGCCAGCCCCAGGCTGCGCGAGGCTCCCGTCGCTTCCAAGCTGTGATTGTGTACCTGGTCGCGGTGTCAGCGGGCGCCGGCCGGCGACACCGCTGCTCCGCGCCGATGCTCACCGTGGCGGCCGCCGGCGTCACGTTTTCTATTTACTCCATGTGCGAGGGCTGCTCTCGTCGTGGGTCAGGTGCATCTCGTTTTGATGTGATTGAGATCGCTGCCGAGCAGTGGATGATACGTGAGCGGCCGGTGTCAGGATGTAACGATGTAATGTGGGTAGGAATTTAAAACCGCTATGGGCCGTTGACGGCATCAATGATCTCTTGTTACAATTGTTGAATAAACTGTTTAACAACTTCCGTGTATTCGCCGTCTGATGTCAAGGGCGTCGCCCGTCAGCGTCCCGACATGCAACATGTATCGTGATGGAAAACGCTGCTTTGGATAACTCATTTTGGCAGCCAGACGTGTACTCTTCCTCAATTTTCCGAGTTTTTCGGCGGAGATTTGTAACGCAGCCCTGGGAGACAGATGCCCAAAAAGCATTTGAAGCCCTCTGGATTGCGTATTCCCACACATCCAGCTACACATGCTGTGAATCACGCGAGTTGCACTGTATGTATTAGACAGAATAAAGATGTCCATCACAGACGAATGTACAATAGACGAATATATAACATTCTGGGTGTTCCAAAGCACCAGTGTCCTCACGATCGGCCCATGATTCATCGTCGCCGCGGGGGTGCATGAACGACCTCAACAGCCCGCCCGTCCCGTGGTCCATCCGCTGCCTCACCGCCCGCTATCACCAGTCGCGCTCGGCCGCGCCGGTGACGTCACACGGTGCGGGCCGACTCAAAGCCGGTGACGTCAGAAGATGTGGGCCGGCCCAACGTCTCGGCAAGCCAGCGGCAAGCAGTACCGCACGCCTCCCGCCAGCCCAACGCCAACAAAGGCACCAAATCCTCCGCCGGCGCGGGCCGCCAGCCTCAGTCGATCACGCCTTCGCGCCTGGGCACCGAGCCCCCGCCGCACAGTCTCGGGCTCCTCGGGCAAGCACGCGCCTGCCGAGGACCGGCGTGCGGTCAGTCGACGAGCCTCGCCGGCTCCGGGGCCTCCCCTCGTCCAGCACGTCGGTGCCGTCTGCGGCGCCGCCGACTCCCGGCTCAGCCGAACAGGTACCAGACGAAGAAGACCAGGCACAGTCCGATGACGAGGCCGAGCACCAGCGAGTCGCGCCGCTTGCGCAGCTGCACGCGCTGTAGCAGGCTGTTGATCATGGGGAACCGGTGTGCCAGGTCGTTGACGCGCGTCTGGATGGCCTTGAAGGTGGCGCGCTGGCCGCTCAGGTGCTCGCGCGTCTCCATGGCGATGGCGATCTGCTCGTCGATCAGGCGGTCCGAGCTGCCGGCCGAGAGAGCGTCACGGACACGCGGCGGACACCGGGTGCGTCCGCTCTCCTGGTGAGAGCGGCTTGGGTTTCTGGCTGAGACTTGGGGGCTCAGAAGCTTGGGGAGCACGGTAACGGCCGAATGGTCAAGGCACTGCAGTCGCCAATGGCCACTGTCTTCCCAAAGCCCTTGTGTGGTGCAGCAAAGTTGATCATTTACGTCACACGGACCAAAGGTACGCTGACGGCACCCGACTCCGGCGTCCGTGCCCAGCAAACGGACCAGAATTACAATTACAATTACAGCTCCTTTTTCGTCTCAAAATGGTCCCAAGAAGGGATGCACCCATTGATCAAGACGGCTTTCGCAAGTGCGCACGCAGCTAACACTACCGCGGTAGTCTGTGGGAAACACAAGCGTCACAGCAACACGCGGCTCGTATAAGCACTTCGCAGTCTTGCCTAACAAAGGGGTGGAGGCGAGCTTACCCACTGACCTTGAGCGACACCAGTTGGGTGGTGAGATGGCCGTGGGTTTAGAGCCCGCGCAACATGCTTCGCGAGACAGGCACTCCGCACTCAAACATTACCCAATCGAGACGCCCAAAATAAATTTCGAACAACCTAGGCGGTCATCCCTAACACACTGTAACACGTGCCACGTAATACCATGGATTATGGCCGCAAAGGCACGCGTTTAGTCTGCATAAACCCTCCGGGAAAATATCATCGGTACTTACTTCCGGATGTGCTCGTTTTCCTTCAGGAGGTGGTCCAGCCTTCTGTTCAACCTGCCGTTCTTATACGCCCTGAAAAGAAACATTTGCATGACAAAAGAGTCGTGCATCACGACAGCTGCTCTTCGGAGCCACTTGATACCATCTAACATGAGAACAGCCGTACATGACCGGCATCAAATGCAGGAGTCATCACACGCAGGACAAGTACGGACAGAGGCGTTCAGAGCAGCACGTCACGTGAGGTCCACAAAATCCGCACTCGTGCACGCCGTGGCGCAGGCAGAGTCGAATGCTCGACACTCCGAGCCTTTCCCCAAGTCGTCCGTTGAATCCGGCCGGGCGTCGGCGCGCGTTTCACGAACCCCAGGTCTCGCCGTCACTCGCGGGCGACCCGCGCTTCACGCCCCGTGCTCGCGGGCTCCAGCCGGAGGACCGCGCGCCGGCCGCCACGCACCCGTCGTCGCCACGGCTGGAGGCCAGCAGCTGCTGCCGGTCTCGGCTGGCGTCGAGCGCCGCCTTCGTGCGGCCAAACTCGTGCGAGTAGTCCTGCAGGATGTCGCGGTGCCGCTGCAGTGTGTGCACCACGGCCGCGCTCGGCGTCGGGCCCGTGGAGAACTCCGACATCAGCTCGTTCACGGTGGACAACTGCCGATGGGACGAGGGTCAGCCGGAAGTCAGACGAGGTGTAGACGGGCGTCAGACGTGGGTCAGACGAGGGTCAGACAAAGCATTGAACTCAGCGTCAGATGAGGGTCAGATGGGGATTAGGCAAGGTTAGATGGTGTCACAGGGTTGAGCAAGGATAAGATAGTGTCAGACAAGGGTCAGACGGGTCAGATCAGGGTCAGGAGGGGTCAAACAAGGGTCATACGGGGTCAGGTAAGGATCAGATGAGGGTAAGACGAGAGCGAAACGGGGATCAGACGGGGATCAGACGAGGGCCAGACAGGGGTCACGTGGGATCAAATGAGGGTCAGACTGGAAACACAAGGGACTGAGTGAGCTAAGGATCAGATGGGGATCAGACAAGGGTCAGACGGGGTCAGACAAGAGTCAGACGGAATCAGACAAGGGTCAGATTCAGGCGGGATTCGGGCGGAAGTCGGACGAAGGCCAGATGCGGGTGAGACGAAAGTCAGCCAGGGGTCGGACGAGGGTCAGACAAAGATCTGACCTCAGTGTTGGATGATGGTCAGGCAAGGGCCAGACAGGGTCAGACAAGGGCCAAACAGGACTACACGGGCTGACAAGGGTCAGGCGGGGTCAGACAAGGACCAGGAGTCAGACAAGGATCGGATGGGGGTAAGACGCGGGTCATACGAGGGTCAGATGGGGGTAAGACGAGGGTCAGACAAGGTTTAGACGAGGATCAGACGAGGTCTGACGAGGGTCAGGCAGGGCTTAAGAGGAGGGTCGGACGGGGGTCGGTCAGAGGTGGCAGCGGTGACGTGGGGTGACGATGATGAGGTTTTTTTCCTTTTTTTGGGTTCGACACTTTTCCTGGGTATCAGGGTGCGTCACTGCGATGGTCACATGATGCCGGGGTGCCAGTCAGGAAACAAGCAAGGGTCAAACTTGGTCCGGCATGGGTGAGATGGAGGTCAGTTAGGAATAAGGTAAATAACGCTCAGGCGGGCTGGGGGACTGGTGCTGCGGACGGGAAGAGGTTGAGCGTGCACTTCAGCATGCACGTGTGTAGGCTTTGCTGATGTGGGACGGGCAGGAACTATGTGTTGACAAACTGGAATCTGGGCCCTAAGGTGTATTCGCAACGACCCGGACAGCAAAGGATATATGCCGTCTACGTCCCTGATAGCGTCATACCTCATAGATTCTGCGCCTTTTGGCACTCGTAGCGACCCAGACGACAAAGGTTCTACGTAACGACGCGTAAACCCTTTGCCGGACGCGCAGAATCCTTTTCCGTTACTGGATCGAAGTGAGGCAGAAATGGCGCCACATATTCAGTTACAAACGAATCGGATGCCCCGCCCAGGGCCGGATGTGGATAATAAAAAGGCATTTATACGTTAAAAACAATATAATTTGGTTTCCTTTGCAAGGAGCACACAGTACGTGCGAACGTCACTGTTATTGTTTACATCTGCGATAATTGTCACGAAGGTTACGAAAACATAAAAAACATGCATCGCGCTGCAAACATGTCCGGCAAAAGACGCTTCGTGGCATCAAATAAGCCAGATATTTTTGGTCCGCTGCGAATACGCCCCTAGTTTCGCAAGCAGGAGCCAAATAGTGCCTTGAAGTATCCCTCATTAAAACATACGGATCAGTCAGCATAACATAAAACCATTACAGACATGATGAACAGCAACATGCAAGGGGTGAAATCACTTTAACTCCAATATTCAACCCCATGGGACCCCAGTAAAATCGTCCCCGAACACCATTCGCGGTACACAGTATGCCAGCAGCCACTCGGAACCAGCTTCGTGGCAGGGAGGCCGAGTGTACGTTCCCTCAGCGCGGGCTCCGCACTGTGGGCTCCACCGCCGTTACAAGCCAAACTCCAGTGCAGCACGTTATACTTGACGTCGCGTTTCCACATCCGTGGCCCGTTAAACGCGTCGCCAGACGACCGGAAGACGAAAAAGGCTATGACGGCACGCACTGGCTCCAAGAACCGGCCGACTCCCTGCCCGTGTGTGGCGTACCTTGGCCAGGCATGCCTCAATCTCGGCCTCGGTCTTCTCGACGGCCTGTTCGTCCCCCAGCAGCGGTTGCTGGTCGCTGTGGCACACAGCACAGGGTCAGCGGCACAGTGGTCAGTGCGGACCGAGCGCGGGCAACAGCGCAGCGGCGCGGGCATGGTGCCGTCGGCACGGTAGCCGGACAGCGAGGGCACGGCAGCCGGACAGCGAGGGCACGGCCGGCAAGGCAGAAGGACAGCGAGGGTACGGCAGCTGGACAGAAAGGCAGGCTGGCACAGCAGCCAGACAGCGGGTTAGGGTCGATGCCACGGCCGACTCCACAGCCACAGCTGCCAAGACAGCACAGGTGTTTGGCGGATGACAATACTAGCACCAGCTGACAGTGGGGGCAGGGTGGTCCTGTCCCTCTGACGACAAGTCTGTACGCGAGACTACTGGGCGCAATCACCAACATCGGTGAAAGAGGCCGAACGACCCTTGTGATGTCACACAAACAGAAAACATGCATTGTCATCACTGAAGTTATCACATGAAAATCCATTAGCACATCAACAGCATGCAATTTAGCAGGGATGCTGAGGTGTATGCTGTCACATCCCATCATGTCCTCATTACTTGGTCACAAATAGTTATGCTTAATTAGCATCACAAAACAATCATCCAAGGAAAGACAGGGGTGTGGCAAAGCTTTCCCAAGGGACTCTGCCCAAGACATTCTACTAACTACTTAGGCTACTGGCAATGCCATGCCTGCACCTCTCAAAGACACAAGAATTACTTGGCTGGGCACCTGGGAATGGAGGCTGTGACGTTGCCATAGCCTGCTCCAAGCTTGCTGTAGGCCACCAGCTTCACATCCAGCTCATTCTCCACCTGCCTGGCCTGCTTTCGAAGATCTGTGGCAGCAAACACAAGGCCTGCTGTGACAGGTCAAGATGAGACACTGATAAATGCTCAATGTTCATAAAAACTGTTGAGTCCTACAACCAGTAACACAACTACAAAAGATGATTGCAACTTTCAGACATTTTGTTCATAGTCTCTGGCTGCCATGTGCCTGATTCCCAGCAATTGTTCAATTTCTGTTTGTACAGCCATAAAGACAAGGCCTTCAGCCCTGGTTCCATCTGGTTCTTTTAACACTAGCTACTGTTTTGCAGATTCCATTCAATCATTTGCAAATACCACACTGTTCCTATTACATACTAGCTATTTCAAAAATCTGCATGTTGATTCATGGTTTCATTTCTTTTGCAAACCCCACATTATGGTTCCTAGTTCCCTTCAACAGTTGCTTAATGGGCTACAGTCCATACTTCCAGTGTTTACTTTTACAAACACCACACTCCTTTCCAGACTTGACAGGTTGTTTTAATAATCAGGGCCTGGTTCCAGGTAGCACATGATTCCTCACAAACACCACTTCTAGTTTTCATTTGTGCACTCATATAACACCAGATTCTAGCTCTCAGTTCTCATAGGCTCATTTATGAATACCACCTCAAGCCACTATTTGGATGTTATTAACCACTGAACAGACATATTATGTGAAACATACTATGCAACAGCTCTTGCATTGCCTTCTTGTGCAATATATATATATATATATATATATATATATATATATTGTGCAGCTCAGTACTTGGTTCTCACAAAATAATAACTGATAGCTTCCTTTTTTGTCCAGTGGTTGTTCATGTCTCTTTAAGGGCACCATCCATCCTACTAGCCTTCTAAGCAAGGCCATAAATAGACAAAAATCCCAGGGTGTCCAAAACACCATTTTACACAAAATTATAAACCTTTCCAAGTTGCATCCTCCAGACCAATTCACAAGTGAATCTCAGACTGGGCCATGTTTCACAAACTGGAGCAAAAATGCATTTACACAGGACAAAATATGTCCCTTATTGTTCATTGCAAATTAAATAACATAACTTAATAATAGTAAAATACTTATTGACTACTAAGTACATCTTTACAAACACACATCCATGGACATGGACAAACAGGACAAACATACATCATGGATAAACATAACTGCAGACAAACAAACATCCACACATACTAGCACCAAACAACTGATTAAAAAATACACCAATGGGCACATCTAATCCTACATCCAACATTCACTAAAAAGGCACATACCTTCCCAGTTATGGCCAGCAGAAGCCATGATTCCAAGATTCTTGTTGGAAAATACAGCTACATAGATCTGACTAAGTTGTCAGCTCTTGGAAATCAGCTTCTGAAAATGCAAGGTAGAGCCTGATCTCAACAAACTGCAATACAACACCTGAACACATGCATGTAACAGGAATGCATTGACAAAACATAAGAATCTAGTTATATTCATATACAGTTGTTCACCAAAATATGGCAAAGTATCATTGTCAAATAGTGATGAATCAAAAAATTACTCAGGTACCAAAGCAACAGTTAACTGCTCAGATTCTGGAGTGAAGAACTGAAGAACTGTTACTTTTCCCTCCTGCCAGCCTGCACAACATCCATCCTGCATAGGACGCATACATGCCTTTGGTAACATGAGCTTTGTGCTTGCAAATGCCAAGCCAGGCTAGGCCAAGTTGCACTGCATTTGTTACTTACATCTATGTGAAAAATGCTATGTATTTTTGCCTCAAATTACCTATGCAACATTACACTTCTCAAAAGCATTGTGTCTCTATGTGCTGACATTGGTGGCCACTATGTGCCAAACTGAGCATTTGCACCTAGTGTACACACACTGAAATGCTCTCCAGGATGTTGCAGCTCCACAGGGCATGTTTTGTGTGACACATGTTTTGTAGTCTGGTGCTCTGGTCTTTCAGTGAAACTGAAATCACTTTATCAGAAAAGGGTAATGCATGATGTTCTCCCACTGCCTAAGCCTGGCCCAGAAACTCATCTGCTCCATCACCACTATTGCTGCTGCATGCTGCAATAACAAGTATGGAATAGCAGTTAGCACTACATCTGCACACCCTTCGATGCAATTCACACTATATTCAGTACAATCTGGACATTTGAAAATTACAATGTCGCACATACTGTGCCGACAAAACCTTGTTCGCTGCGTAATTGTGGCAGCCAAATCACACGCGACGTAGCCACCCTTCGTCTTGGAAGGCGCATATAAACGCGACGCAACCAGCCAACGCCTCCTTACCAGCAAATGGGGCCTGGCGCAAATACTCATACAATCCTTCACTGGCGCATGAATCTCTCCAGCCTCAAATTCCCAGAACAGCAGACGTGACGTAGAAGTACCCAAAACGGGAACCAGAACACAGCAAGCAATCGTAGCATCCACGTAGCAGCAGGCAAATACGGCAAACACAACGCAGACACATAATCCAAGCTGGACGGAGCGAGTAGAAACCTGAGAACACCATCACTATCAGCAAATGAAAAAAATGTTAGTTTGGCTCAAACAAGACATCAAGAGCAGCATAAGCGCATCACTACCCAATTGCGAACAGGTCAACAACCGATTTTGATAGTGTTTGGACTAAACAAACTTTTACTGTGAACACCAATTCCAGAGAAACGTGAGCGCACAAGACCAATCAAATTGCTTTTGCGCTGCTTTTGATAGCAAAATTACTCAGCTGCGGGCAAGCTACGCCCTTGCCGTGGGAAGGGTGGGAAGTTTGAGTTGTTCAAATTCGAACGAAGCCGTGGGGGCGTCGTGTGATATTCTGTGCTTGGTTGTTTCCGGCTATAAATTTCATTTCTGTTGAGCGGGAACTTGCGTTGAGGCTGTGTTTCCAGCTGCGAGGTCTTGCTTTTTATCATACAGGGACCTTTTGCAAGTCTTGTCTCGTACGACACCTGCCATGGAGGGAGTACAGCAAAGCCGGAGCCAAGAATCAATTCCTTGGATTTTGAGAAGGCAGTGCTCAGAGCCAAACTCATCACAGCCTACAAGACAGTGCTTGGAACAAAGATTTGCGTACTCAGCAAGCTCAATGCCTGTATCTGGGAACAAACAAGGTCCAGGAACAAAGGCCAAAAGCAGCTTCTTCAGCATGCGTTTGCCATCGGTCCCATCAATCACCAATACACAGACCCAACAGGCTCTAAGGCAGGGTCAAAAGAAGGTGCAGAGGGCCTTCCATGAGGTTGCATCTACTTTTGATCTGTTGTCTCAGGTATGTAGTGCTAGTAATGTAGTAGCTGGTATGTATGTATGGTTGATATGTATGTACAGGTATGTATGTAGTGGTAGTTGTCTCAGGTAGTGAGCAGGCATTCTCTGCATGAGTTCTGCTTCAAGTTGTAGTTGTGGTCAAGTAGGTCAATGGACAGGGATTTGGAAGACACAAGCAAATTATCATCTGCATCTTACAAGCCATTGTTTTTTATCATTCACTATGAAGCTTGTCTGCATCCGTGTCATGTAGGTTATTTCTATCTTTTATTTCATGCATTTTGATCATGCACAGGTAGAAGCAAATTGTCTCAACCAAAGTTCATTGAGCAAAATGTAGATGTAATTCAAAGCAGCCATTGAAAATAAATTGGAAGTGGATCTTAATATGACTTCATCACAGCTAGAATTGAGTTCTGATTCTGTCAGAAACTACACAACATGATTCTGAACCTGAATATGACTCAGCTGAAAAGCCAATACACCCAACTACAAATCCAATCTCAGGCAAAATAGAACTGGTAAAAAAGGACATTTGATTCCCTGCTGTCAAGCACATATCTGATTTGCCCACTGGAAACAAAACCTTATGAAGTTTTAAGCATTATCTGTTGGGATATTTTGATTATTACCATTGAATCATGTATCATCAGTTTCAAGTTCACACTTTGAGATATGCCTGGAGGTCATGCTATAAAGGACCTTTGTTACTTTTCGCATAACTTTGCACTCAAAATAAAAATGGCCATGCTGCAAGCACTAAGAAATGCCTTTCCTGTTGTTTCCCTTGCCTGCCAATGCTTGTGCATCTTGTTGTAAAGTTATTCCTCTCAGTCAGGTCCATCATGTCCCTACGTCCTATCCGAAATCCCTTACCAGGGACTACTATGCCATGATCATCCCTGTCCCCACCTTCCATCGACCCCTCCCCGCCAAACCCCTCCCACTAGACCGTAGTTTGCACTGTCCCGTGGCGTTTGTGGGCGCTGACCTCGGCCTGTGGCGCCTGCAGCGCCTGCGGCGGTCGACGCGGCGCCGGTACCGTCTGACCGACTCGCCGTTCACGCCGGGCTCGCCGGCCGGCCGGGCGCGGCCCGGCCGCAGTCCCGCTCAGGAGCGACTGTACTCGCCGTTCGGCATCGACTCGCCGCGCCGTGGCCGCTCCAACGCGGCGCTGGACGTGACGCCGCCCGTGCCGCCGCGACGGTGAGTGGCGCTCCGGCGCTGGCGGTGCGGCGCCACCCGCGGGTGGGCGGACAAAACGACGCAGGGTCGCAGTGATGGATGCAGATTGCCTATTACCTGTTGCCAATCAGGTTGATGCCAGCAAGGAATGGCCCGTAGCCCACAAACTGCAGTACCAAGCGTTTGGCGGCGTAATTCCTGTCTTTTTCGTTCATGGCCTTTGGGGGTAGGGGAAACGTTCGAAAGTTGTAAATAGCTGCAATGTGATGCGAATGAATATTGTACTTCTCGCTACATAAGCACACATATGTTTCACTTCGCTCTTGAACATGATTCTTGGCCGGCCGTTTCAGTCTGGTGTTACCTACTTTGACGTGACTGTGTTGATGTGTCATTGGGGGAGGTGGGCACAAGCGGCATGAGATGATGGACTAATGACCCATAAAAGGCTTGTGTGCATTCCTGACAAAGTCACGTCCGTTCGTCTGGTGTGTAATGTCATGACATCACCGACATGCCCTACACTTCACGTTCTCCTTTCGAACTAGTGTGGTCTTGACCCCCACCGCCACTGCCATCTCCATGCGACCCGCGCACCCCTGCCGCAGACGGCGCGCACTGAACAACGTGACCAACACGCCGCGCGGCGGCGCCTCGCCGCGTCGGAAGGGCGCGCCGCCGCACAGCAAGCCGTCGTCCGGGCAGCGGCGCGCGCTGGGGCCGGTCGCCGACGGATTCCACAGCCCGACCGGCCGGCTGCGGCTGGACGTGGTGCGCGCGGAGAGGGGCGGCCGCGAGCTGGGCCGGCTGGCCGAGCTGGTCGGTCGCCGCTCGGCCCGCCTCTGAGCCGTGGCAGGGGCGTGGGAGCGGCAGCGGCAGCGGCAGCGTGGTGCGCTCGCCGTGGAGGAGCGGCAGCGTGGCGCGCTCGCCGCGGAGGAGCGGCAGCGTGGTGCGCTCGCCGCGGAGGAGCAGCAGTATGGCGCGCTCGCCGCGGAGGAGCGGCAGCGTGGTGCGCTCGCCGCGGAGGAGCGGCAGTATGGCGCGCTCGCCGCGGAGGAGCGGGTGGCGCCTCGCTCGCTGTGAGGGCAGACCGCTGCTCCGCCCCCTCTCGGGACACGGCCTGCCGACTCGGCACTAAGATTGAGAGGCCCGATGCTTCGCTCTCTGCGAGGGATTGACTGCACACGCCGCCAGGAAAGGACTTCTCACTGACTGCTGAGTGGCCGGTAACGGACAGGTTTTCTGTCCGACTGGGAAGTGGCGCCTCGCTACCAAGCAGTCTTCTGGTAAATCGCTATAGAGGAATGACCTGCTTCGCTCGCTTCGCGGAACTGTCATGCTGTTCTACCCGCCTCCAGACAGCGGTCTGCCTCTCAGCTTGCTGCACAGGGTTCGGGTGATTGCGGTGTCGTCAGATTTTAGGGCGAGACATGTACCGTCCCTGCAGTTTCTGTGGCCTTTGACAACACTGACCTGTCCAAGTGCGTGAGTGCGTTCTGTGAAGGGCTAAAGTTGCAAGGACGGTGGCCACTGCAGGGAAGGGTGGCAGCAGACAGCTTGCCTTGTCGGTGTTACGATTGATTTAAGTCCTTGCTCCTGTCGCACGTGGTCACCCATTTTGAGTTTATCGCATTTCATCATTTCAGCCACCCTTTGACCATTGTGGTCTTGGTCGAGAAGGGAGGTATCTCATCGCGGCGACCTTTCCTCGACGCTGCCGTGCGGCTTCTCTTCATTAGGTTAGATGCTAGGAACTGTAAGCTCGCTCGACGCAATGTCGGACAATCTGTGGAAACCCGCTCAGAGATCTGATGATTGAAACTCAGGAGGAAACGTTCTTTGGGAGACGTAATCTTGCCGTTTTGCGTGGTTTGCTGACAAGCGCGGCAAACTTACACTAAAATTGTGTACAACTAACGATTAAGCCAAAGATTGTGTTTGAGCTCAGTATTACAGTTCCGAAGAGCTGTTTCAAAGGGGTCCGCGTTGCGACATACCTTTAAGTGTATTTCACTTGAGCAAAAATGCGTACAAATGGCTGCCAGTATGTGGAATCTCAGCTCACCTGCCAGTAGAAGTTGGCTGCAAACACTTTTTAGGAATTTTGTAGTCGTAGGCTCAGTTTTAAGTTTGAATGTTAAATTTTAAGGCTTAGTTATTAGCTTTATCTTGTCCTTTTTCTAGTTTCGGTAGTTTTTTTCGCTAGCTTCTGAGGCTTACTTGAGTGGTTCTGAATCACATTAAGTGATTTTCACGATTATTATTCGATTAGTCATGCGGCTGTCGTGCTTTTTACCGTCGATGATGTATGGGAATGTGATCAAAATGTGCGCCTGCAGAAGTGCAGATGGAAGCGAGATTCGTCGCACTGCGGCCGTGAGGGGGAGGGGTGAAGGCGGGTGTGTCGATCTCCTCACATTGGAGGGATAATGATGAACACACTGAAGAGCATCGTGCTTGTGCTTCTGTCTTCTGTTTGTATACTCTAGCTTTCCTCGCCCTTCGTCGACCCATGCACCGTGTTGTGAGCGATAGCCTCGGGCGCGTCAGCACCGGACCCCGCTGTGAACAGCTTCGGCGTGTGGGAACTGAATGACTGGGCCGCCATGCCTGCGGTCAGTTGTGCCCTGCCCACTTGGGAGGATACGGGCTCACACGGACGTGCGACCGTGGGCGGCCTGCGGAGAATTACACGCTGATAGCTGTAGTACCTGTAAGTGGTCGGTGGGGGCTTGTAGCATGCGATCACACTGTTAGATTCTCTGCTGCTGCTTCGCGCGATACGGTCTTCCATTCGCTCGTCTGTCAATCTGTGATTTTCCGGCTACGACAGCGATCGTTTATGGATGTAATGACTTATGGCTATGCCCCTGATACGCGTCGTGACCAACTGCCAGTGATGGATACCAACGTCTGTGCAGTTTCGCATAAACGCCACCGTGCGGTGAAGAGGCATTTTGAAGTTGTTGAGGAATGACCACACGCGTCGCAGACGTCACGCAACGCTGCATCCACGTACGCTGTACGGCCGTGATACCTGCCGGATCATCGCATCTGCATAAGGGCCTTCCATAAATGCGCACGTGTTGCAGACTGCGTTTTTCGCCCAATACATGCCTTTTGGTCAGACCTGATGCTTCGATTGCAGTGGGCACCGGTCCATCGTGGCCGCTCGAACGCGTCGAACGCGACTGCCTGGCACACGTCACGGGACCTCATGGGAAATGAAAAACATTTATGATGGCCTTACACAAAGGTACACGTGTTGTAGACCGCATCACGGATCCGCATAGGAAATGATAAACATTCAACACTCACTTCTGCCCGGGCGGGACGCTGTCATCCATTTTTCCTTATGCATTGCATTACTTGAAGCAAAGAAGCATGGTTTTGTATGGAGTAAGAGCGTTCGAGCTACATGCTTATGTGTCAGCTAAAATTACGGATGATTTTCACTGGTGACACTGTTCCAAAATTTGAACGCGCCCTTTCCTGTTTATGTTCAAATTGATGGAAAAGTACTTGTACTCGCTTGCGCCCATCTGGCCCATCTCTATAATGAAAACAGTTCTGGGTTTTTGTCACAACTCGCCACATTGAAGGGCCGGACTGGGAGGGCGGTCATTGCGTTGGATGGGAACGGAGGAAGTTGGTGGCACGGAGACTTTGCGAGCGCGTAAGCCTGCAGGAAAGGGCCAAGTAGTTCTACAGGAAGACCACAGATTTTATTACGAGTGAGTATTTATGTGTGGATGCCTCAGGTCGTACGTACTTTATGTTCGGCGTACAGTAATGGTGGATATGATGCAAGGGGCGATTCCACCCGCAATGACGCTGATCTGCATTTTTTTCAGACCGGACCTGTTCGTCCTGTGAAACGATAATGATGTAGGTATTTCACTATTTGAAGACCTGCCATGACTGTGACCAGCGAATCAGATATGTCAATTCAAAGCCACAATGGTCAAGCAAACAACTTAGCTGTGGGAATGGCAATGGGTGCACCAAAACAGCCTGATGAAGTGAATCCTAGGCATGCGTATTCTGTGCCTGGAATTCTCCATTTCATTCAACATGAATGGGCGAAGTTTGAGCTGGAGAGGTCGAAATGGGATGTAGAGAGAGCTGAGCTACAGGCAAAGATTGCGTTTCTTCAGGGTGAGCGGAAAGGTCAAGAAAACTTGAAGAATGATCTGGTCAGGAGGATAAAAATGCTTGAGCATGCCCTCAAGCAGGAGCGTGCCAGATTTCACAAACTCAAGTATGGTGCAGAGCTGTCACAAGGTGACTTGAAGCCTGCTGTGTTTGATGAAGGCCAAGAAGATGCTGGAGAAGGGGATCAGCTGATAACTGCGAGCAGCAACATTTCCTGGAGGCAGGGGCGGCAGCTTCTCAGACAGTACTTGCATGAAATTGGCTACACTGATACCATCATTGATGTGAGGTCAAACAGGGTCCGCTCATTGCTAGGCCTAAAAGACAACAAAGATGGAAGTCCACCACCCATGGGCAATGATCCTGCAACATCCAAGGAGGATGGGCAAAGCAAGGCTATGTCTCAGAGCCAGGTGGCCCTTTTGGGTGAGGACATGCTTCGTGAGGCAGAACAAGCTGTGCTGGCTAACTGCCATTTTCTCAATGAAGGTGGAGTGGAAGTAGATGACGGGGATGACGATGAAGAAGACTGGAAGAGTGAAGAGATAAACATAGGAAAACAGGACAAATCTCTTGGGGATGATGAGCGGGATTCGTCAAACATGGCCATGGCCCTGAAGTCTCTAGACTTTGATTTCAGCAACATCTCCATTGGGAATATGGTGAATCCATGGGAAGAAGGCGGGAGTGGGAGGCCCGCAGCCAGCAAAGACCCCAGTCTCCATCAGCCTGGCATGAGGATCAACTCAGCTCGGTATGGCCTGGAAGTAAATGATGACACCTTGGAAGAAATGGGACTGGGAGAGCTGGCCCAGCTGACTGTGACGAACGAGGCAGAGGGCACCTATGAGCCGGGGACATCCAAAGAGCCCTTCTCCAAGATGTGGAATGCCAAGTACACCCTGAGGTCCCACTTTGACAGCGTCCGGGCGCTGGCCTTCCACCCTATCGAACCCGTACTGATCACGGCCAGCGAGGACCATACGCTGAAGCTGTGGAACCTGCTGCGTACGATTGCCGGCAAGAAGTCTGCGTTCCTGGACGTGGAGCCCATCTACACGTTCCGCGGCCACGTCGGCGCCGTGCTCTCCATCTGCATGAACCCAACGGGTGAGCAGTGCTACTCCGGTGGTCTGGACGGCACGGTGCGCGTCTGGACTGTGCCCAACTCCAACATCGACCCGTACGACGCGTACGACCCTGACGCGCTCAGCCAGACGCTGGCCGAGCACACGGACGCCGTCTGGGGGCTGGCGTTCCACACGCAGAAGACGCAGCTGCTCTCGTGCTCGGCGGACGGCACCGTCAAGCTGTGGAGCCCGGGCACCAGGGCGCCGCTGCTGCAGTCGTACTCGGCCGACCCGGCGCTCGGCCAGCCCAGCTCTGTGGACTTCGTGCACGAGGACTGCAGTCACATGGCCGTGGCTTACACCACCGGCCGCTCGGTCATTTACGACCTGGAGACGTCCAAGCCGGTGGTGCACCTGGAGTCGGACCAGAACGCTGCGGGCGCCGCCGGCCGCGACCAGATCAACTGCGTGGTCTCGCACCCGACCATGCCGGTGACGGTAGGCGGCGCACGAGGACCGGCACATCCGCTTCTACGACAACGTGACGGGCAAGGCGGTGCACGCCATGGTGGCGCACCAGGACGCCGTCACCAGCCTAGCGGTCGATCCCAACGGCCTGTACCTGCTGTCGGGCAGCCACGACTGCAGCATCCGGCTCTGGAACCTGGACAACAAGCAGTGCGTGCAGGAGATCACCGCCCACCGCAAGAAGAGCGACGAGAGCATCCACTGCGTCGGCTTTCACCCCACCAAGCCGTACATCGCGTCCGGCGGCGCCGACGCGCTGGCCAAGGTGTTCGTGTAAGGTGGCGCGGCGACCGGCCGGGCCGTGCGGGTCAGCGCGGCAGAGGGGGGGCGCCGGGAGGGTCAGCACGGGGGCGACGGGGCTCCCCGGGCGCGCCGCCGGCCCGGTCTCGCCCGGCGCAAAGGTCACAGCCCCGCGTGAGATTAGTCATTGTGAGCGGCCTCGTGTGGCGGCCGCGGGCGGGCCGTGCTCGCCGGGGATCTGCCGTAGTGTCGGCTCGCTGTCCCGCGTGTAGGCTCCGTGTACGGGGGCGTAGGCTCGGCGCTGGGCCGCCGCGATGTGATTGTGTTGCGCTGCCGGCGTCCGCGCGCTGCCGGCCGCCCCTGCGAGACGACGCCTGCGGTGTCGCTTTCGATCCGGTGAGGTCGGAGGAACTGACGGCGGACAGGCGCGACAGCGTTACCCGTCAGATCTTCCAGCCCCCCCCCCCCTCTCCCACCCCCGATTTCAGGTTGTTTTCAGACCGGCGCCCTGTTTTCTCGCTCCTGATTTTAACCGGCGTGTGTCGCTCCCAGTAGTGGCGTTTTAGCATGTGTCACCCATATGTCGTGGACAAATCTCTGCTTTAAGCGCGTGCATGCCCCTGTTCAATCCCGCCTATGATGCTGACATGTGTTCAGGTTTGTGTTCTGAACAATGTAACCACTAATAAACTGAGCAGTCGGTGATCGTACCCTTTGTGGATGATCGCATTGCCAGGTCAGTAGTTGACCTGCGGGTCTACTACACCCTCCACGCATGCATGGCATGCATCATGGATTTGGCACGTCACAGCGATTCTGTATGGCATAGTGACGAAAGACAAATAATGGCACGCGAACTCATCCGGGGATGCCAGCACGTCGTCGCCGCTCGCCCGGGAGGCGCGTCCACCCGCAGCCACCACTGCTCAAGGGCAGGCTGTCCGTAACCCTCTCCGCGTTTTCCAAGCGATGAAGCCCATGGCACCCAACGGCTTTCATCTCCACCAGCTGCGCCGTTGGCCTGCAGGCGCTGAGCGCCATTAACTGCAGGCTTAATGAGCCACGTCAGTCAGCCAGTGTCACGAGCCGGACTGACTCACCGCGGGCCGCCAGCGGCGCTGCATCCCACGACGGCCCTAATCCCAGGGATGACGTCAGTCCCACCAATATTTATTACTGCGTCAACGGCCGCGCCACGTCTACGCCAGACACACATCGAATGCGACCCACGATGCACCGTGCACCGAGATGGCCACGCCGTTCGCAGTGCAGGCCACCCATCCGGAAGCTACTGCGTTGCGGGCGGGGAAACTTGACATCGATGCATTCTTCCCTTGCGTTCTTCCTCTTTACTCTTACAAAAGCCGGGCATCGCTCGCGTCACAACAGAACTGACCAGAAACAATGCGTTCAAAAAGCGCGTCGGCGGCGCGCGCGGCCGCGGGCGGTGGAGGGCGCCGCGGCAGGAGAGTATCACAGAGGTGTCGGCACAGTTCAAACCGCGCTTCAAGAGCGGAGCTAAAACGGCGTGCCCTGCGTGCGGTGGTCCCTGGCCCGCCGCACGCCGCGCGCAGCCGAGCTGAGAAACGTCACCGCCGTCCCGTCCGCTCTTGAGCACGAAAGGTGTCAGGCACGCTGGCCGTCGGGCAACTCAGCTCGGCTTGCGGCAGACGAAGAAGGACGAGTTGTAGCTCCAGTGCAGCATGCTGGAGCGGTTCTGGCAGTAGGCGGTGGGTACAGCCTGCTCCTCCTTCTGCGGGCCGGTGCAGCCGGTTAGGCGTGGCGGGCGTGACTGGCGGCGGTGCCGCTCGCGTCGCCCGAGGGGGTCCCGCCGGCGGGTCCGCGGGGAGGGGCGACAACGGGACGCCGCGGGCCACGGGCTCCCGTCCGCGCGCAGCAGGCAGACAAACCTTTGGTCAGCAGGTCCATAGTCAGACCTTATTCCATCCGCCGCTGCACATAAGTCCTGTCAGTGGCGTCAGTACAGCTTTGTTCCACATCAAAGGGGCTGTTCACACCCCTCTCCCCTCCCCCGGTTTTGATTCATCACCACCGCCATAGCTGATGAAAATCGCCACAAGTTCTAGAAAAGCCCACCGCAAAATCTCCCCATGCTTGGAGAAATCTGGCCATCTGGCAACAGCGAAACCCTATGCGGCTCCACTAATGTCAACAGATCAATAATCGAACGCGGGTCCAGCCATCCCCCAGATGCGCAGTCCCATATCATACCGGTCAGACGGCAGTCTGGTCAGCGGGCCGCACTAGAGCCGCCCGAAATACTCCTCCCGACGGCCCCAGCACCGTGCCGCGGTCGGCTGACGTGCGTGCCTGCGCAGGTGGCGGACCTTGGGTTCAAGCCCAGCCTCGGGCGGCCTTTTCCCGATCGGCTCCCACCCAGGCAATGACGGCACCTGGAGACGATCACCACGCCGCGGCGGCGACGCTACCCCTGTCATCGACCCGCCCGCGGGCCTGGGCTCGATCCCGTCACATCGCCCAGGACCGCCCTCTGACCACTGAGCCCTACCGGCCGGCGCAGGCCGATCATCGCGCGCGATGCGGCGGCCGTCACGGCGGCGAGCGCGTGGTCAAGATCCTCCCGTAACGCTGCCAAAAAAACGGACACCTCTGCAGCCTACAGCGGATCTATGTGGCGACAGTCTGGCAGTGCGCACCGGGACAAGCACTCGTGGTGAAGCACCACAGGTATACAAAATCCCCTTCACCTGGCTCGACGGGGAGGGGGAGGGGGGACTTACCTCAAACACAAACCCGATGGCCACGATGATGCTCTTGAGGTGCTCGTAGGTGGGCTCGATGCTCTCCTCGCTCGGCATGTCGGCGTAGTGGTACAGCAGCGGGCCCATGTTGATCCAGAAGCCGCCTGGAACGGGCGGCACCGGCTCGGTGACGGCCGGCGAGCGGAGGGGCCGGTGGAAAGAGGGCGTCCTCCACGCGCACGGGAGCCCAGCAGCATTCATAGACACATACACTTAAGTGAGCGCTTCGCTCACAAGTTCAAGCCTATTATGCACGTCGAAACGCTATATATATATATATATATATATATATATATATATATATATATATATATATATTGGAATATTTTGGCAGAATTCTTTCTTTGATACATGCTTGATTAAAAATAACTGCTGACTCAGCATTGACGAGCTTTTTGATGCATCGTTCTAGTTTCCGGGCCTTTGACTTTGCGTCATCGCTTAGATTAAAGATGGTTCGCACAAAATTACTCATATATTCATCACTCCTTCCATTCTAACGTTTCGAGATCTTATCTCATCTTCGGAGAAGACTAAATTGCACAAGAAATAAGTTTTGAGTTTTAAAGGATGAAAAATTGTGCACTACTGTTGGAAAACATCTTTTGGTACGGAGAACATAAATGAAGCATAGTGCTTATTATTATGCTTCATTTATGTTCTCCGTACCAAAAGATGTTTTCCAACAGTAGTGCACAATATTTCATCCTTTAAAACTCAAAACTTATTTCTTGTACAATTTGGTCTTCTCCGAAGATGAGATAAGATCTCGAAACGTTAGAATGGAAGGAGTGATGAACATATGAGTAATTTTGTGCGAACCATCTTTAATCTAAGCGATGACGAAAATTCAAAGGCCCGGAAACTAGAACGATGTATCAAAAAGCTCGTCAATGCTGAGTCAGCAGTTATTTTTAATCAAACATATATATATATATATATATATATTCAATAAGCCAACGTTGACACACCGTTACAGAGTGCAGCACATGACTTTGACACGCTTCCGACAACTGCACCGCATGGGACCAGCTTTCCACACATCACCGCGCACACCGTGCTTGTCCGGACCTGGGCAGCGCCAGCCTCCCCCTCCCCTTAACATACAACACCAGCCATTTGATTTACATCCGGCATATGTTCCTTTCGGTCACGAGGTGACATCGGCCACCGGCACAACCTGTCCAGTGACCGCCGGCCGCTCTCTGGCCGGGACGCGCCAGCTCACCCGGCCGAAGCACGCTGTAGATAGTCTCGATGAACTGGACCACGTTGTTGGCGCAGTCTATGAAGAAGCAGGTGGCCACGCAGTGCCACTGGTCGGGCTCGGTGTACACCTGGTGAGGAGGGGAGGCCCACTGCTCAGCCTCGACGGCAGCACATCGAGCCGTACCAGCCAGTTCACCATGGCGGTGTGTACGCCACCGTGCCCATACCACCCCAGTGACGCTGCAAGCTGGTGAGGTGACCCGGTCCCACCTGGGGTCAGTGCTACTCGCGAGTAGGTCACGACAAAGGCGTGGCTTGCGGCAAGCTGCCAGAATGTCGCGCGAGCAGCCAGCGTCTTGTGCTCGTGCTGCCATGCACCACGTGCGCTGGTTTTTTCGACTCAGCGCTTTAAGCACGACAGCTGTGGTTTAATGTAAGCCACCGCGGGCAGAGGCCTCACATTTTAAACAATACACCTGAGGGAGTCCACTGTGAGATCACAAGCCCGCAGCGACCAAGCTGGTGAGCGCGCGACCCATGCCTCTCCAGGACCTCCCAAAAGCGCCCCTCCGGTCAGCTCCGCCTCCAGTACCCCCACCAGCCCGACAGCCGGTCGCACCTCCAGGAAGTCGCCGGCGGCCATGGAGAAGGGCGCATCGGCGGGCAGCTGGGACGGGTCCACGTCCGGGAACGAGACGGCCGCCGTCTGGTCGGCCGGCCGCAGGTTGTTGGTGTTGGTCGTGGCCCACGGGTGCAGCCGGTACACGTGGGTGCCGCGGCACCTGCGAGGGACGGCCGGCCGGCGTTCAGGGGCCGTCGGCACGGCCAGAGCGCCGGGCGGCGAGCGGCGCGTGCCCAGCACGCGCGGCAGGGCAGCGAAGCAGTCACGGCGGCTAACGTGACCGGCGATCAGTGTAGAGCCTCGCATGGACGTTTGGCGGCGCGGCACTCTGTGCTGGTCCATACCTGGGGCGCTCGGGCAGTGCAACACGGCCGTCACATGTGGCGACGGATTCCAAGGACAACCATCCCCTGCTCGCATCCCATGTCTATCAGATGGGACCGGAGCGGCCCAAGCACTGCCAAGTGCTGCGAGAATCAGACCGCTTCGGATCGCTTGGAGTGACATCCCTGCAGTAAAGCCGAACCGCCAGCGTGCTCTGTGGCCAGCTACAGCCCCTGAACCGCCTGCAGTCTAAGGCTACCTGATGCGTACGAGCTCGGGAGAGACAGGCAAAGAAGGGAGGTGGCACTTCACGCGACCAAACTGGTGAGAAAGGTGCCACTCTCGCCGACAACGCGCGCGGCACATCCCCAACACCGCCGGGCGGCCGCTCCCACCTGTTCAGCACGAAGTTGGAGGCGAAGAGCATGAACAGAGCGAACTCGTTTCCCTGGCAGGCGTAGCCGAGCTTGGCGATCTCGAAAGCCAGGCGGCCGAGGCCGGCGCCGGGCACGAAGCACCTGGATACTGCTCCGAGGCCTGTCAACCGCGCCGGCTGGGTCACTGGCGGCTGGAGGAACAGGGCACCGGAGGGGACGGAAGAGGCGCGACTAAAGCGACGCACTCATAGTTAGTCGTGACGTACGGGGACTGGTGAGCACACCTGGGTGCATTCGTTCGGGATGGTCGGCCAGAGTGGATTCCTAACACTTCGTAGATGTGTCATTCATCAGTGTCTCGAGAGGGGTTTAAAACCTTACTGCAGCCCTGCGTTGCCTGCAGATCTACTTCCAGCGGACAATACACAACGCATGGCAATGGCAATTCCACCGACAACAGCACATTTGCACCCAATTAAACCACGTCTGCCATTAACCTGAACCGCCAACAACAAAGCTTACACCACACAACAAAACTTCAACAATCTTCAGCGACACTGAAGTTCATATCGAACAGCCCGTTTTTCCAGAGTCCCGCGCCGCAGGGAGACCCAGCCCCGCCGGCTCCGTTTCCGCGTGCGGTGCGCCCACCCATCCCCGGGCGGTAGGTCGGAGCCGGCCGCCACTCACGTGTCTCCGGCCGGGAAGCGGTGGCAGATCTCGTCGATGATGGGCTGATAGCACTGGCGCCGCTCGGCCTCGCCCTCGGCGCTCCAGTCCCGCACCACCTGGCGCAGCACCGAGCTCACCTTGTCCATCTCGGAGAGGGTCGGCCGGCCCAGGCCGCGGTGCTCCTACCGGCCGAGACCGTGCTGAGGCGGCAGCCCCCACACCGGCGTGGGAATGGGGAGCGGTGCAGCCGTGGGGTCACCACGGGCCGAGGTTTTCAGCGGAGCAGGGAATACTGGCGATCGCCGGTGACAGCTGTCCCTTTGCTCTAGGATGGGGGACTCATGGGACGTGCGGAGAGGCGAAGGAGCATCTAACAACGTGGGGGTGCCAAAACCAATTCTGAAGTAGATTTTTAGATTTCATGTGTTATCAATGGGTTAACGCACATTCTCGAGAAGTGGAAATTGAAAAAGTGGAAATTCACGGACCTCCCTCTTCTCACAATCTTACGCCCATAGATGTGAGGGACATGGGGATGAGCATCTTGTCATCAACATGAGATCAGTCTACCGCGCCGAACACATCGACGACAGATCTACCTTCCACAAACGTAGCATATCATTATGAAAAGTTAATTCACCCCATCCAAAATCACCCAGCAAACCGGCCAAACAGCTACCCTCGCTCATGAGATCAAGGCTGGGAGCCGAGACCTGGCTTCTGGACTGTGAAAAGCCGCCGCCGCCGCCGCCGCCGTCTGGATACGAACCCGCTCATCGTGTCGACTGTTCTCGAACATGCTGTCCACGTCCTGCAGCACCAGCTTGATGATCTCGTGATTGTGCTCGATGCAGACGCGCAGCTGGAGCAGATGCTCCGAGTAGTCGGCCAACAGCTCGCGCTGCCGCTCCTTCATGGCCGCCACGAATGCCTCGTTCTTGTCGATCTTGCCGAGGAAGTGCACCCTGCGGTGACAACGATGGAGTGGGCATGCTGAGAGGCGTGGGGACACTTATATCACGAGATCTAGAGAAAACACGACATCAAGTTACTGAGAGATAGTTGACAGTTTTTATCACAATTTATTTAGCATGCACACAAAATGAATGGGAACCACATTGTGTCAACAGCCTGAAAATCCTGACACTTAAGGCAGACCCAAAATTGGGTGTCAAGATCAGACCTGTTACTTTCAAAAATGACAGTTTACAAAATAAAAAATAATGTGAACAGGGTTGGCACCTAATCAAACCATTCACCATCAACTTGTGGAGCTGCATTATACCTGTACATGTTACATACTTGTAGTATTTGAAAGCATTAATAACCCTCTGGAAATGTTCCTTTTCTTCAATTTCCTGTTCAATATGATCCTCTTCATTGTGGCCATTAGTTGCAGCTATCTGCATGCAGTCATCCCCATCTGATTGTTTCAGCCTGTTCATTTTAAAATTTTAGGCTCCACCTTTCAATAACCACCTGGGGGCAGACAACCAGCATAGCAGCATATCAGCATATCAGTCACACAATAAAGTGGATTAAGGTGAATCCATGTAGGGATGCATGCCTGCCAACACATGCTGGGAGGAATGGAGTTTGCCATTTAGTTTCAGCAGACACAATTCATCTCAAGTGAAACAGCGGCAAACCAGTCAGGTTCAGTTAAGGCTGGGCTGGATGGACAGTACGGCCCCATTTGCAATGCTTTGTTGCTATTCATGTTATCAGCCAATGTCAACAGATGGAGTGGCATCTCCAGGTCATCGTACCATCTGCAACATGGGCCCATGCCTATTGCATCTTTTTGGGGAATAATTCTGTCTGAACACTCAATATGGGTGTCAAAGTGTGCCTCACATCATGATGCAAAATAACACACTTTTACACCTTTTGGCACTGCTGAACAGTGAATGATGCAGCATAAGTGACAGAATGCATAGCACAGTGAGCTGGTGCTGGCTGACATGTGCAACAGTAAAAGAGTATATTCTTGATGGAAACTGGAGGTCAATATAATGTAAGCTTCTGCTCATAAACTGCCACTGTATGAAACCCTCAAGGTGACAAAAGTGGATGATGTGATAGCATTAAATTGAACAGGACTGGACAAGACCGCACACAACCAAACGAGAGCAGCTGGAACTAGATGGGGCAGGACAGAACCTGATGGGGTGAATAGCACTGGATGGGATCAAAGAGGATTGTCTGGAACTGAAAACAAAGGGTCTTAGCTGGACTCCACTTAAAAAAATCACTTAAACAAAAATGCACAGCTTGGTCTGGCCCATTTTCTACATAACCTTTAAGGACAGTCCAGACTATCCATGTCCCATCCAGACCAATCTTCTCAAATCCAAAACCATCCAGCCTCATATTACCCATGCTGTCCCATCCAGGTTGTCCTTAATAAACAACTGATCCCTCATGACCTGTTAACTACATTTTGCACAATCCAGCAGTATCACACCACATAAGCTGCCAATGCACAGTACCATTCAGCACCAATATGCTTCCAGCAAGCAAACCTAGGTTACCATAGAGTGGTGTGCACAGATCAGTTGCCTTTGTTGATGCAGGTGGTAATGGTAATAATCTGGGGAATTGGATGTCTGCATATAGTGCCTACAGATATAAAAAACATATGCTTCCTAGTCTTTCAAGGTGCAAAAGAAAACAAAGTGGAGGAATGAGCCTCATAGGGCTCTCCACTATTTCTACCCAGTATAACATATCTAGTTTCTGCTCAGAGGACAAACTTCCAAGACTGTTGACTGCTTAAATTGCCATTTTTATCTTCTCTATGAGCCAACACGCCTTTTCATTAATGGGGGCTGAAGCATGGATATAACACTGCAAATGTAGTCTGATATATGTATAATAGCTTTTAAATGACTTCTTCACTTTTGTACACTGCTTCAAGTCACAGAAATAGTGTTATAAGATATTTCTTTTGTCTCTACCACCTACTCTGATGTAGCAAGCTTACTGTTAATAGTAACACTTGAATCTTTTAACTTTTAATCACAGCAAATTGTTCATAACCAACAACCATTATGATCCACCACACACCAAGCATCTGTTAATACAGATATTGCAGGGTGTGCCATGCAGAGGTACATCTAAAAAAAGCCAGTCGTAGCATGACATGAAAGCTGCAGCAAGTTCCAAGTCAGCAGAATAGAGTGATACAGTCCCTGAAGATCATCAGACAGGATAATTCCTACACACTGAAACAGAACAACACTGAGGAAATGATTCAGATGCCAAAAACATTAACAACATGTCTTTTAGCTTTACAGTAGCCCAGAAATAGGCATTTAAAATTAATCCCTGCCTATATTACAACCATGAGGGGAAATTAGCAGAAACCATGAACATCGACATGCACTTGTAGATAGCATGGGAAGTCACTGATTAAAAATACAGAATTCCTTAAAAATACACCAGAATAATGAACATCCTCCTTCATTATGATACACTATACATCAGATATGGTGTGGTAGGCTGTCCGAAAGTATCAAAGATAGTCCCCTACGACTCTGAGTTCTGACCCAGGCAGTCTGCATGAACCACGTTCCGGCGTCAATAAAACCAGAAACGCAAGTTCTTCCTAATCTGTCAAATGATTCAAGTTACGAAAATTGTTACCCAATCTCAGCTGCCTCCCAACCGCGCGGCGCTTAACCCCCACTCTCACCACACGAACCAAGAGCCGGGTATCACCCCACAGGGGCCAAGAGCCCGAAGTATACAAGCATCTCAAACATCATTGGCTATTTCGTCAAATTTCGTCATGTTCAGAAATCAACAGAGTTCGCGGCATTCCCAACTTCTGAGAAGTTTTCATGACATCAGGAACATAAAATTTAGGTAAAGTCTGAATAGGTTCAACTTTGTCATCACTTAATTGACTCAGTAACCTAAAATTTACGATTTTTTCAGTTCTGCCACCTAAACTAGGCGAACTAGTAATCTGTGCTGCAATATAATCAATGTATGTATTTCAAAACTGCGCTCTTGCGACAAATTTACACACTGTTTCGTGCACCTAGGACAATTGCAAATGTTGTTCTGATTTGTTTCGGAGAGCAATTAACTTTACGTTCTAGGACTGAAGGTGCGTAGGACTAAAGGTGCGTATGTATGGCGACCGGTGGAAGTGTCTGTATGTCTCAAATTGGGTAAAAATGATGCTGAGTGTGATATCAGACAAATTGTTGAATGAGCGCTGGCCACTTTTGTTGGGTGAAACCTTGATGGCATTTTGTCCCCCTCCCACTCTGTATGAAGTGTAGCTCACAGTGACAGATCAACTCCAGTGTTAAAAGCGTTGGAGATAGTTTCCTGGAGAAATTCTGAGACATGTCTCCCTTCCAAAGATAAGCTTAATTCCTTTTAGCAGCTTTCACCTGCAGTCTTTTGGCTTTGCATACCACATTGATTGATTTTGATGGAAACTTGCAAAATTATTGTGCCTGGGCCCAGAAGGCTGGAGCTTGAAAAGCTCTTGGGGCCAGTCCTACCTCCAAATATTGATTTTCACCCTTCATATCCTTCATATCCTTCATATTCCACCCTGCATTCTCCTGGTCAGGTGACTTTAATGCAAGATTTGATTCAAATCAATTTGCCCAAAATGTGAGGTTGTGTACCTCAACCTAGCATTGCTTTCTGATTGTAAGCAGGCACCTGTTGCCTAATCTAGCTTACATATTCATAACATTCTAAAGGCATTCCCACAAGGCCACACATTCAAGGGACTATGCTGATAATGCTAACATGCTGAAATGTGTGCTCATAAGAAACCTTTGACATGTTATTGATGTCATTTTGCCCAAGGAAAACCATGTTTTGCATCAGTATTAAGTCCCTGTCAAGGGATACAGGTGTACCTACATTTCTTTCATTTGCCGGGCTACTCTTTCAACATATCTCACCTAATGTTTTGAAAATCTTAATATTGATATTGACCAGATGTTGAGCAGCCTGGTTCAACACTGTATTGAAAAATGAAATGAAGCATATAGTTATGCTCTAAATTTGGCAAGCACACAGGCTGCTAAGGTGACCATTTTTTGTTGAAATGCTGTGACACTTTACCAAAACATGTTATGATCCAAAATACTTGTAACCATGCGGTTCACAAAGTCAAGCTCTTGTCCTGAGGAATGAGCAGTGAATGTGTGGAGTCATATTGAATCCAACTTTTAACAATGTCTCATTTCAGGTTAACAATAACTTGGCCTCACTGTATCAAGAAGATACAGCAGGAGTGACAAATATGTCTGCTGTACTGAAGACAGCTGTGGCTGTGGGTGCCATCTCCAGGGTATGTGCCTTATTTTATTAGAATAACAGTTGAATATATGTATATAGTATTTATAAATGTTAAGTATGTTGGTTGTTCCTTGGTGCTGAATGTGTTGTCCAAGAAATAATTAGGTGTCCATCAACATATCATTTCATGCATTCTGTGTGGCCAGTTTTCAAATAGGTTTATATATTGTCCTAAACTGATGGTGTACAATGTGGGCAAACTAAATTAGTGCTCCATTCACATTTTATCTCCTTTTTCAATGGTAAGACAAAAATGCCTGATGTCTTGTATGTTTGATCATTTTTGCCCTGTACAGCTCATTATCACTCAAATTCTTATTTTAACATTGAAACTGCAAATTTTCCTTCCTGAAAGGCTATAAATTATGATAAAGGCTCTTGGGTCTTTTGGTGGTAGGATAACATGTCTGTAATCATACAAGGGGTTTTCTACATAATGTGCTCCTCCGAAAAGTGTCCACCAAACACGACTGATGGTTTTCATGATGCAGGTATGCCGGCTGGCTGGTGCACAGTCTTCGAGTCAGCTCCTGGTGACCCAGCTGCCAGACTGTCATCACAAAAGAACTATGAGTAAACATTGGAATCCCAAATTCCGCGTGCTCAGAGGAAAAAAGGTGAGTGGTGATGTCTCCAACTCATGTTCTGGTCGTGACTGCTCCAAGTTGTCAAATCTTTCGATCTCAAATAGATTATTGATGGTACATTTTCCCACCAAATAGATTTCTTATAGTAACATTCTCTGGCCAAATGGATCATGGCAGCATTCTCCAGCAAATGGCATTGCAGCCATACTGTAGCCACTGGTGTGAGATGTGTAGGTGACATGGTCCATGATGAGGGGACCTGTGGGCAAGTGGCCTGCTAACTGCGTCTTACTGGCCATACTGGGACATAGTGGATGGTGCGCCACAGTACCAGTGGCCAGGGAGGTCATGAATGTATGGGTCATGGGGCGAGCTGGTGGGCTGGGGAGCCAGGGACTGGTGTGGTGAGATCAAAACAATCACTTCTGGGACAAATACCTGAAACAACAGGACCATTTTCCCAAGGGCATCCCTGTGTGGGCGGGGATGGGGTGGGCTGTATGAGTAACCCCCCCCCCCCCGGGCGATGCCCCGCCAACGACCGAAACAGTCACGTGTGTCGGTTAACATCATAAAGATCACATTTATTGGTTGAGATCTGCCAGTCTGAGTGGCGCTCACAACCGGTGTCCCGCAGATCATCAAGGTGGAGTTACCTAACTTCAACGAGGATAAAGAGGCCGCCGACCTGACGCCGAACGAGATGCGGGCAAAGCTGAAGGAGAAAGGCATCCTGCCGCCGCGCCCGTGGCAGGAGCGGCCCATCAACATCAGCTGCACCGGCGGCGTGTTCGAGGAGTACGTGCCGCCCGAGGGGGACGGCAAGGTCTCCATTGTGTCCAAGACGGTCAGTGGCGCGGCGCGACGGGGCGTTTGTGGCTGCCTTGTCTGATGAGGCAATGAGTGTGCGCAGCCGCTCGCGGGCTGTATTTTGGCCTTGTATTGATGTCGGACGTCACACGGTAGAACAGTACCGGCAGTGGCTCCGTGCATCCCCTGTCAGGGCTGTTAGGTAATGACAATGTTAAACAGCCTGACCCCAGTCTCGGCCTTCTTGAACAGGTGATGCGACCACTGGTAGTGGGCCGGAAAAATCCAAAGTAGGCTTGGTGGGAGCCTTCTGAGGCTTCTGAACATTACTGATTGGGCGAGGTGGGGTTAGTACAGGAGGACGATACAGAGGAGTGGAGTAACTAAGCCCAAAGTTTGTTATCACATTCAGCTCGCTTTTTGCAGTTACTGGTAGGTTGATAGTTGCAGGTACAGGTGTGCTGTGTACCCAGTTGCACTGGTGTTCTCCAACAGTCCATCTGTCATTGGGACGTTGCAACGCACTCAGCTATTGAGGCTATATGGAGTTGCCTGCCTCACACCCTGGCAGGAAAGAGGGGCACCGCAGGGAATGGAACCCTGTACCTTTGGTTTTCCAGACACACAGTGGGTAACGAAGACGCGTTAACCAGTACACTATCAGCATCACCTCCCCAGTTGTCCACTGGATCCCATTTGTCAATGTTTTAATCAGCAATGGTCTTTTTGCCTCGTCCATGTGGCTTGATGGTGCGCCCTAACTGGGCCCTTGTTTGGTTTTGTTGTGGCCCACAGTTTTTTAAAGTTTTTTTGAGAGGGGGGGGGGGGCAGGGCCACCTTTGATATCAAGGATTACGTCTTCTGGGCTCGTGCAGCCGGCATCGCCCAGTGTTTGTACTATTCAGAATGTTCGGCACACATTGAGGCCATCGGTCTCGGCAGTCTTAAGTTAAAGTCTTTTCATTCCCTTGCATGTACTTGCATGGCCCTCAGTGTCCACCAACCTTCTTCTCACCAGGAGCCGTTTAGTATAACTCTCCACGCGTGTCCACACGTGTGACAGTCTGACGGCCAGTCATCGAGGACCACCCACTGACGCTTTTTTCCTCGCTGCTTGTCTGTGCCACAGGGCGCCAAACAGCGGGTTGAGTTGCTGGAGAAGAAAGCCAAGTCGATGATGGCTGTGCGCAAGATCCGCACCTTCGACGAGGACTTTGACGTGAGTGACTTCGCCGAGGATGCACTGAACATCTACCAGGAAGGCGCACCAGGCGCTGGCCCGGCTCGACAAGGCCGCCCTGCACAAGCACGTGACGGGTGAGACCCGACGGAGGCGCCGCGAGCGAGCGGCGCAACTCGTGGTCGGAGATGGTCGGTCCTGGAGGCCGGACCGCCGCCGTGGTGGGGCGCAGATACCGTCTGTGTACTGTTGCACGTGGTGTCCAAAGACACTCGAGTGTTGCGATGTTTTGAAGGTAAACGAAATGTTTTTTTTTGCGTGCACAATGTTGTTGATTTCGGTAGTCAAAAAATAAGATATGAATATTATTAGTAAGTATGTTAATGACACGTTTTGCCTTGCTGTAATAGTAAAGCCATCTAAGCAATAAAAAGGAAGGCAATATCTTAGACGTGGTTTGGGTAGAAGCGCTGTCAGAATGGTGGAACGTGTCTTTTACCTTCCCTGAATAACGTAGAACAGACCTAAAACTCGGCGAAAGGCGTTCTCAAACGACCACAGATTAACTAGAACGTCTGGTCAACCCTTTATTTGTACCTGCCGCGATGTCTGCATTCTGCGACATACCCAGTCATCGGCTGAAATTCGTAGAAATGAGTGGGGGGACTCCGAGATTTAAAGTGGAATTTCGTCCCTCCACTGTTGATGTGCCATGTTTTTAAATCGACGAGCGTGGGTCGAGGAAGTGGCTCAAGCTGCCACGCTCCTAACGCACCTCCGTCGCGCAGAACTGGCCTATCGAAGATGATCCAAAGCGTGCGGAGCAAGACGGTGCACTGGCAGCTGCTTAAGTCGCTGGAGCCGGCGCGCGTGGTGCACGTGCGCCACACAAACGTCATCTCCAAGGACAATGTGTACGCCCAGGTGACGGTGCGTCTG